CTTCCGCCAGAAAAACAAGTTCAAGACATCATGGAAGCACCCCCGGTCAAAGCACTGGCACCTCTTAGACTATGTAATCACACGTGCCAGAGACCGCCGTGACGTGCTCCTCACAAGAGCCATGACAGGTGCTGACGACTGCTGGACCGACCACAGGCTAATCCGATCCACGATGGCTATCAAGATCGCCCCCAAGCGCAGACTCCAAGGAAGAAAGACAAGGCGCAAAATGAACACCCAAGCCCTTCAGGAGCCCTCCAAACGAGCCCTTCTCCAAACAGCACTCAAGGACCATCTACCCACAGTACACCCCGAAAATGTTGAGGAACATTGGAACAAACTGAAGACCTCCATCATCCAAACCTGCGAAGAAACTATTGGATACCAAGCCAAGAAACATCAAGACTGGTTTGATGAAAATGACATCGAGATCCAACAGCTAATTGACAAGAAAAGGAAAGCCTTCCAAACATGGCAGAGAGACATCAACTGTGCTGCTAAGAAAAAGATCTACGCCAGTGCAAAAGCTGAGGTCCAAAGAAGGACAAGAGAACTCAAGAACATCTGGTGGACAAAGAAGGCTGAAGAAATCCAACACCTGGCAGATACCCATGATGCTCAGGGATTTTTCAAAGCCACAAAGGTCATCTATGGACCAAGAAACCATGGCATACAGCCTCTACGCTCATCAGACGGAACCAAACTCCTGAAGGACCAAAAGTCAATTGCACTACGTTGGAAAGAACACTACCAAAGCCTCCTAAACCGCAGCTCCAGTGTGGCCGAAGAGGTCCTCTCACAAATCCCGCAACAACAAACCAGGGATGAGCTTGCAGCACTGCCTAGTTTGGAAGAAGTCAGCAATGCCATCAGCCAACAAAAGAACAACAAAGCCAGCGGACCGGATGGGATCCCTGCTGAAATCTTTAAAGAGGGAGGACCTGCGCTGACACACCAACTCCACCAGCTCATAGAAAAAGTGTGGGTGACCGAGAAAATCCCAGCAGACTTCAAGGATGCCACCATCATCACCCTCTTCAAAAAAGGGGAAAGAACAGACTGCGGAAACTATCGAGGTATCTCCCTTCTAACCTCCGCTGGGAAAATCCTCGCAAGAATCCTTGCAAACCGCCTTCTGCCCCTCTCAGAAGACACCCTCCCAGAATCCCAGAATGGCTTCCGCCCCTCCAGAGGAACCGTGGACATGATCTTCACTGCACGACAGCTCCAAGAAAAATGCAGGGAACAAAACCAACCTCTGTACATGGCATTCATCGACCTTGCAAAGGCATTCGACACAGTGAATCGCAGCGCTCTCTGGACCATCCTCCACAAAATCTGGTGCCCTAACAAATTTGTGAACATCCTGCGGCTCCTCCATGATGACATGATGGCAACAGTCTTGGACAGCAATGGCTCCCAAAGTGACCCATTTAAAGTGGAATCGGGTGTCAAACAGGGATGTGTTATTGCCCCAACTCTATTCTCCATCTTCATTGCTATGATACTTCACCTTGTTGATGGGAAGCTTCCCACCGGAGTGGAAATCATCTATCGGACAGATGGCAAGCTGTTTAACCTCAGCAGACTGAAAGCCAAAACCAAGGTCACAACAACATCTGTTATAGAACTCCAGTATGCTGATGACAATGTCGTCTGTGCGCATACAGAAGAAGATCTACAAGCCACTCTCAACACCTTTGCAGAAGCATACACAAAGCTTGGCCTGTCACTGAACATCGAGAAAACCAAAGTGCTGTTCCAGCAGTCACCAGCCGTCCCCTCTCCAATGCCAGAGATACAGCTTAATGGTGTAACATTAGAAAATGTCGACCATTTCCGCTACCTTGGCAGCCACCTCTCCACCAAAGTCAACATCGACGCCGAAATACAACACCGCCTGAGCTCTGCAAGTGCAGCATTTTCCCGAATGAAGCAGAGAGTGTTTGAGGACCGGGACATCCGTAGGGATACTAAGGTGCTTGTCTATAAAGCTATTGTCCTCCCAACCCTGCTATATGCCTGTGAGACGTGGACTGTCTACAGACGTCACATGCAGCTCCTGGAACGACTCCATCAGCGCTGCCTCCGGAAAATCCTGCAAATCTCCTGGGAAGACAAGCGGACAAACGTCAGCGTGCTGGAAGAAGCAAAGACCACCAGCATTGAAGCGATGGTCCTCCAACATCAACTCCGCTGGACAGGCCACGTTGTCCGGATGCCTGACCACCGTCTCCCAAAGCAGTTGCTCTACTCCGAACTCAAGAACGGAAAACGGAATGTTGGTGGACAGGAAAAGAGATTTTAAGATGGGCTCAAAGCCAACCTTAAAAACTCTGGCATAGACACTGAGAACTGGGAAGCCCTGGCCCTTGAGCGCTCCAGCTGGAGGTCAGCTGTGACCAGCAGTGCTGCAGAATTCGAGGAGGCACGAGTGGAGGGTGAAAGAGAGAAACGTGCCAGGAGGAAGGCGCGTCAAGCCAACCCCTACTGGGACCACCTTCCACCTGGAAACCAGTGCCCTCACTGCGGAAGAAGATGCAGAGCAAGAATAGGGCTCCACAGCCAATGTTTGCCTGTGCCTGCCATAGAGCTACATACAAATAAATGGAGTATCCCTCATACCAGATGTTTTCCATTTTGGAATATTTTCACTGTGTATCATGAAATATGTCTTGGAGGTATTATTATATAGAAGCAGATGGCGGAAACAGAAGAATGGCCTGCCTCAGGGGAGTGTGCTTGCTCCATCCATGTTCAACATCTACACAAATGACCAGCCACTGCTAGAAGGGACAGAGAGTTTCATCTATGCTGATGATCGTGCCATTACTGCTCAAGCAGGGAGCTTTGAGACTGTAGAACAGAAGCTCTCCGAAGCTCTAGGTGCTCTTACTGCCTATTACAGGGAAAACCAGCTGATCCCTAACCCATCTAAAACACAGACATGTGCCGTTCATCTCAAGAACAGAGAAGCATCCCGAGCTCTGAAGATCACCTGGGAAGGAATCCCACTGGAGCATTGCAGCGCACCCAAATACCTGGGAGTCACTCTGGACCGTGCTCTGACCTACAAGAAGCACTGCCTGAACATCAAGCAAAATGGGTGCTAGAAACAATATCATACGAAAGCTGACTGGCACAACCTGGGGATCACAACCAGATACAGTGAAGACATCTGCCCTTGCTATGCTACTCTGCTGCTGAGTATGCATGCCCAGTGTGGAACACATCTCACCACACTAAAACAGTGGATGTGGCTCTTAATGATACATGTCGCATTATCACGGGGTGCCTGCGCCCTACACCACTGGAGAAATTACACTGTTTAGCAGGTATTGCACCACCTGACATCCGCCGGGAAGTAGCAGCCAATAGTGAAAGGACCAAGGCAGTGACATCTCCAGCTCATCCCTTGTTTGGGTATCAGCCAGCACGTCAACGACTTAAATCAAAATAGTTTTCTAAGATCTACAGAGACTCGCGAGGGACACCTCAGCAAGCGAGAGTCCAAAAGTGGCAGGCTAAACAGAACCTCACAATGGCTGATACCAAATGAGAGACTCCCTCCTGGCACACAGAGACTGGGTGACTTGGAAGGCACTGAACAGACTGCGCTCTGGCACCACAGATGCAGAGCCAACCTTCAGAAATGGGACTACAAAGTGGAATCCTCGACATGCGAGTGTGGAGAAGAGCAAACCACAGACCACCTGCTGCAATGCAACCTGAGCCCTGCCACATGCACAATGGAGGACCTTCTTGCAGCAACACCAGAGGCACTCCAAGTGGCCAGATACTGGTCAAAGGACATTTAATCAACTACCAAGCGTGCAAACTCTGCTTTTTCTGTTTGTTAAAAAAATGTTAAAAATGTAATACAATTGTCTGGTTGATACTGACACGATAAATAAATAAAATAAATAAATTTGGTTATTATTATTACAGTATAAATATACTGCATACAAAAGCTGTATGATAAATTTTATTTGCATGCCTGCCTAGAGAATATATGCTTCCCCTGCCCAGACACAAGAATTTGTAAGTGAAGAATGAAGACAGAGGGGAGCAGAAGACAATTCCATCTTGTCTTTACTAATAATATAATATTGTATATAATAATATTGTATATATACATATAATATTTATAATATTGTAATATAATACAATATAATATTATTAATAGTAATACAATATTATAATTATATATTTACATTACATGTAATATTACTAATAATATTTCAATATAATGGTATAGTGCAATATAGTAATATATAATACTGATATTGTACTATGCTAATAATATAATATATTGTATGAAAATATCTTGTAAGCTGCTTTGAGTCCCCTTCGGGGTGAGAAGGGCGGCATATAAATGCCGTAAATAAATAATAAATAAATATATGATATAATAATGTATTGTATATATTTTATGTTCCTATGTTTTTGACTTTGTTGTACCCTGCCTTGAGCAATCATGCTTTACATTTGGTATCAAACTGCATCGATTCTGCAGAAACTGGAGACACGATTTTCCTAGCCCTAGCTAGAATTAAACCTGGTAGTTTTTGTTGCAAAAATATCTTGAGCTTGGCTACACATCTCTTACATCCTAATCCTGCCCTATTTCTTTGTAAAATTTAAATATTGCATTGACAGTATAAACACATATCCCTAGCAGTGTACTGCTTTTCATGGAGGACCAATCCCAGTGCAGCACTTAAGAGTGCTGGTGCTTGTATAGATGTGGGAATATCTACTCATACTGAGCAGCTGCATCAGATAGGCTCTTGTCAAAAACCTAAATGTATGAAGCTTTGGCTAATTTAGTGGTACATTCTGCTGAGGCTTGCACTGTACAGACTTTGGCTTTATGATGTGTACTTGTGTGTGTGTATTCAGAGACTTCAGGAAGTGCATTCATGTGTTAATACATTTTCAAGAATGGATCAAACTATTATTATTGTCAGCGTATAATTACAAAGCACCAGCAGCTCTCGATGAGTAAAGAGAGTTTGTGTATTTAATGCAGTGGTTCTCAACCTGTGTGTCCCAGATGTTTTGGCCCTTAATTCCCAGAAATCCAAACACCTGGCAAAGTGGCTGGGATTTCTGGGAGTTGTAGGCCAAAACACCTGGGGATCCACAGGTTGAGAAACACTGACTTAATTAAAGCATACTTTTGCCATCTTGTTGTTGTTCATTCGTTCAGTCGTCTCCGACTCTTTGTGACCTCATGGACCAGCCCACGCCAGAGCTCCCTGTCGGCCGTCACCACCCCAGCTTCTTCAAGGTCAGTCCAGTCACTTCAAGGATGCCATCCATCCATCTTGCTCTTGGTCGGCCCCTCTTCCTTTTACCTTCCACTTTTCCCAGCATAATTGTCTTCCGTTTTGCCATCTATCGTATTGCAATAGTCATCGAATTAATTGCTGAGTTGTTCAGAAAAGTTTTCCTGAAGGGTTCCTACCCTCTTTTGCTTCCCATTGCAGGAAAGAGAGAGGAATTGATAATATTGAGATACAACACTTCATTGCAAAAAAAGCCGATCTCCTTTTTTCTCATTCTTGGAAAACAAATGTGCCTATAACTGCAGAAGCCAATGAAGAAAATGAAGGTACGTCCTCTACCAAAACACAAAATTGTAACACTTAGCAAGATTATTGAGACATCTTTTAAGCCCTGGGCCCCGCAGGGCTCTGTGGCCCTGACAGCCCTGCAAAGGCTGCCAGGGTGAGGTAGGGAAGCCGGCCCTGGCTAATCCAGAGATGGGGTGGGGCCTGGCGCTGGTTGGCCAGCTGGCCAAGCAGCGGGAAACTTCCCGCCTCACAGGGGGCTTCTGGGAAGAAGAAGCCCCCTGCAAGCAGCATGGCCGGTTGGAGGGAGCCCACCGCTGCAACGGCCCTTGCCTGGTAAGTTGGGCAAGGCATTTCTGATTTTAAAACCACAAAATGTATAAAAATATATTAAAAATATTAATTCTAAACCCTAACCGCAAAACAGCGAGTTTGCGGAAAGCGAACCACGAAACAGCGAGGGAACACTGTATGTGTTTAATGATCTAAACTTTGGATAAAAATTGTGAATGCCTTGTGGGTAAATTGAAAAAAATGAGATGGAAATGTTTTGCTTCATTCCCTCACCTTTTGCTCTAGCAATGGGCTGATCTGAACAGTTAAAATGTTTCCAATTCTTGGTATGTTTCATATATACGCCTCACTGTTGAAACAGGAGACTTTGAAAATCTTTCTGCTGTTAATTATAACATCTAGTTTTTAATTGTCTTGCAATATCACACCAGAAAGAACTCTTGAGGAGTAATTCCATACATTTTATTACTAGTTAACAGATTTTTGTGCCTCTTTCCATGAAAGCTGAGTGGGGCTTGATTTATCTGGAAGCATTTTCTCTTATGTTACATACAGTGAGTTTAGTTATTCACTGAGTTTAGTTCCAGGACTTCCTATCAATCTATCTATCTATACACATAATAAAAGTGAAAATATTTATGTGTGTATGTGGCTGGGATGTCCACTTACAGAGACATGCTCCTTCCTCCACAAACAGCTATTGCTCCCACTACTCAGGAGACACCAATGTCCCTCCCTCCAATAACATTGCAGGTTATAGTGAGTGCCATGGTCAAATACAAGACCCCTGACAATGTCCTCCAGAAACACCATACTGCCCACCACCCAAGTGAAGGCTTTTATAAGGGGACAATTTCATCCTAGATTGTATGTGTTTCCTCCAGACATCACAGTGTTTCTGACTCTCTCCATTGGTGTGGAGTTTGCATGACCCCATCCACTGGCTCTCCCTTAACCCTTTCCTATTCTTTTCTACGGCACACAGCAAACTGAGGAATTGATCAGCAGCTGAACATACTAGAGAGGTTTGGGGAAAATTCATCATGATTTATATGAGTTGTAGGTCCTGGGATTTATAATTCACCTGCAATCTAGGAGCACTCTGAACTCCACCAATGATGGACATGGAATAATTTGTCACACAGAAGTCCCATGACCAACAAAAAATACTAGAGGTCTTTGGAGGGATTTATGGGTGTTGTAGTTCACCTATTTCCAGACTGCACTATGAACCCAAACTATGATGGATCTGAACTTGGCACACATACCTGATATGTTGACATTTGATTTCTTGGGGGGTTTGGGGGGGTTGGAGACTGATCTTCCTTTCTGGGAGTTGTAGTTCACCCACAACCAGAGAAACCGTGACCTCCACCGATAATGGACCTGGACCAAACTTAGCACACAGAGCCCCCATAACCAACTGAACCTACTGGAGGGGTTTGAGGGGACTAACTCACCATAGTGGGAGTTGTAGTTTACCCTGCAGCCAGAGAGCACACTGAACCCCACCAATGATGTATTTAGAGCAAACTTGTCCAATATAACAAACTTTTAAGTACTGATGAAGTTTCTCAGGGTTAACCTGACATGATGTGAGTTGTAGTTCAGCCACAACCTATTACATTTTGCATAATTAAAAAATTGGCTTTTTCAAATAACCCAGGCAATGCTGGGTCCCCAAGCTAATAGATATTACAATTCATGGATGCTCAAATCTCATCATATGTAGTAGCATAATGAAATTGTGTCCCTTATATTTAAAAAATGATAAAAGTTAAAGTTTGCTTTTTGGATTTTTTTTGGGGGGGTGGGTTAATTGAATCTATAGATGATGATAAATTTATTTCTTACCCGCTTCTCGCTGTGGCTTGAGGCAAGTTACCACATAGTTAAAACCCATAAACACCCAAAAGATTCTATAAATACACATATGAAAATGTATACATTGTATGTATAGAGGACTGTTAACTTCTGGTTGAACATTCTTACTTGATTCAATTCAGAAGGATGTTCTCATGTAATTACTCTTCAAAATATGACTTAAACATAATTTAAACATTTTTTTCTTTTTTATTCTACTGAAGATTATTATGCTGTTATGCCACCTTTGGAGCAGTTCATGGAAGTTCCCGGTGCAGAGAGAAGAGAGCTGTTTTTCCGAGACATTGAACGTGGGGACATAGTGATCGGAAGGATTAGTTCAATTCGTGAATTTGGGTTTTTCATGGTGCTCTTCTGCCTGCAAAGTGGCGTTATTCGGGATATAGCAGACATAGAAATCACTGTAAGTCTCAGAGCTGTCAATGTTTTCATTGTTGTAACTTTTTTTGATGTATAACTTGATAGCCTATTGTGTAGTAAATGGAGATAGCTTAGTCAGGGAAAGTGAATGGGAGCTGTGGGATGGTGAACAGTTCAATGCCTTCATATGTTCCAACTTTGAAACATGCTGAGCTGGGGAATGGTTTTTGCTGCCTCCGCAAGGAATTTTGATTTCTTATGCTTATTTTGAAGTTGTTGAAATCTTGAACTGAACTCTCCTACAGTTCTTACTATACTGTGAGACTCTGCAGAAGAGTCCTGGGAACTTTCAAAATTAAAATCCTATGAATTTTGCACAGAATAGACAAGTGTGAGGGAAAATATAGCAGAGCATCCAAAAACAGACAGGATACTGCTAAAAATTGAGCATTCAGCTCATTAGCGAGCAGAGCGTGAAGTGTCCTGTGATGTGGCTATAAAGAATTAACTCGGGCTCGGGCAGGCAAAGATGCAGAGTTCGATCTTAAAAATCACAAAAGGTTTATTTACAATAATAAAAGGCAAATACACCGGTCCTAGAGCAATTCAGAAGTGAACTCTCCTTAAAGCACAATGATAAAACTGAGGCAGTAGTACTTTGGCCATATCATGAGAAAACATGCTTCACTAGAAAATATGATGATATGTAAGGTGAAGTAGGACAAGTAAAAGTCAGTTTGAAGGCAGTTAACAACAACAAATCTCCTTGGTGCCAGGCCTTGAAGAAGTAATAGTTCAGCCATGGGAGTGAAAGTGGTGTCAAACTGCATTATTTCTGCAGTGTAGAGGCACCCTAAATTAATTTAAACTCTAAAATTCTTTCCCTAGGCAAGATTCTTAACCCATAACTTGATTTTGCTCTATGCACGCTCTGTTACCTTCCTCCTCAAATGTAAATATTCAACAGCCTGATGTTGCCTACTCAGTTGTGACTGTCTGGTTTCTGTTTCAGGCTCTGTGCCCATTGAGGGACGTGCCTTCCCAAAGCAACCATGGCGATCCCTTATCATACTATCAAACGGGTGACCTTATCCAAGGCAGGTTCATTTGATTTATATATATAAACTTGGGCTCCCTTGCTGATCAGTTTGCCTTTACGCATTTACATTCAGGGCATTTTTAGAGCTGTTCTGCTGTTTAAATCTTGCCTTTTTGTATTTTAATAGCTGCAATCAAGGATATTGATCGCTATCATGAGAAACTCACAGTATCACTGCACAGCTCTGCGCTTTCTCCAAGCTTAGCAAGTACCAAATTAGGCGTAATCAGCTCCGAAGACTTGCCTCTGCACTATAGGTATGTAACCAAAGTGAGCTGCATGGCTCCATAAAGCACTTTCTGTGCTTTACTCTACTGAGTAAAAATACACAGTGTGGTCCCAGCCTGTCTGAGCATTGTAAACAGTTCCAAATTCTCGTCTCAGTGGATATATGGAACATGACAGTGAATGAAATAGGAAAGCCCATTCTTATGGCAGTTGCAAAGCTGTCCACAAGGACATTCTATTTTCTACAAACTTGACATTTGACACTGTTGTTAGTGACAGTGACTATGTCTGCTACTTATACTATTGATATCTTATACTGAGGCTAATAGTAGCAGTCCTGCGTGTGAGTTCTGTGACGACAATCGGACTGGAACAGTTGCCCTTAGGCTTTGCCTTCCCTGTGCCTTTCTTTGATTCCTTCCGTTGTTTGCAAGAGGATTGGTCGCACAATCTTCTTAATTTCAATATTTATTTATTTACGACATTTATATGCTGCCCCTCTCACCCCAAATGGGACTCACAGTGGCTTACAAGTAAAAAGTAAATACAATATATTGTGTTATTATCATAGCACAATATTAATATTATATATTACATTGTACTATAACATTATACTGTAATATCATTTTATTAGTAGTATATTGTATTACATTATAATATTATCAATATTATATGTATATACAATATATTATATTATGTTATATTATATTTATTACTAGCCGTCCCCTGCCACGCGTTGCTGTGGCCCACATGGGGGTTCTGTGTGGGAGGTTTGGCCCTATCGTTGGTGGGGTTCAGAATGCTCTGTGATTGTAGGTGAACTATAAGCCCCAGCAACTACAACTCCCAAATGTCAAGATTCTATTTTCCCCAGTGTTCACATTTGGGCAGATTGAGTATTCGTGTAGAGTTTGGTCCAGATCCATCATTGTTTGAGTCTACAGTGATCTCTGGATGTAGGTGAACTACAACTCCAAAACCAAAGGACACTGCCCACCAAACCCTTCCAGTATTTTCTGTTGGTCATGGGAGAACTGTGTGCCGAGTTTGGTTCAATTCCATCATTGGTGGGATTCAGAATGCTCTTTGATTGTAGGTGAACTATAAATCCCAGCAGCTACAACTCCCAAATGACAAAATCAGTTTTTTTGAGTGAAGGACATAAATTGGGTTGTTAGGTGTCTTGTGTCCAAATTTGGTGTCAATTCGTCCAGTGGTTTTTGAGTTCTGTTAATCCCACAAACGAACATTACATTTTTATTTATATAGATAAGCACAGTGCAGGAGACAAGGTGGAACTGCCTTCCTTGCCTCTCTCTTCACTCTGATCTTAGAGAAGTGGTTGGTGCTGGAAGAGGGGGGCTCCCAACCRATGACACTGGAGGCAAGATGGAACTGCCATCATGGCCCTCTCTTCATTTTGATCTCAGAGCAGCAATTGGGGGGGGGGGCTCCCAACTGATAGCACTGGAGGCAAGATGGAAGTGCCTTCATGTCCCCTCCCTTCACTCTGATCTCAGAGCAGTTGGTGCTGGAGGGGGGGGGGGGCTCCCAACTGATGACACTGGAGGCAAGATGGAACTGCTATCATGGCCCCTCTCCTCACTCTGATCTCAGAGCAGCAGTTGGTGTTGGGGGGGGGGGGCTCCCAACCAATGACACTGGAGGCAAGATGGAACTGCCTTCATGGCCCCTCCCTTCACTTTGATCTCAGAGCAGCAGTTGGTGCTGGAGRGTGGGGGGCTCCCAACTAATGACACTGGAGGCAAGATGGAACTGCCTTCATGGCCCCTCCCTTCACTCTGATTTCATATGAGGAAGATTAAGTGAGAAAGGACACAGGAGTGCTGTAAACCACAGCTTCAGGAAGCGGGAAAGTTCAATTATCTGTGTCCTCCTTTTTCCTTCTGTGAGAGAATAATATTGTTCTACTGAGGGCCCCTCCGGACAGGCCTTGTATGCCAGGATCTGATCCCAGGTTTTCTAAGGTAAATTGGATTATATGCCAGATAATCTTGGATAAACAGAAAACCTGGGATCAGATCCTGGGATATAGGGCCTGTCTGGAAGGACCATGAGACAAGACAGTATTCCTTTCGAAGGAGCAGGATCAAATTCTGTGCATAAACATCTAAATTGGCCCATGTATTTAGAAATATTGCTGTCTTCACAGACTTATTGTGGTGGTTCATTTTAAGTATGCGTTCTTGATAGGATGCATTGTAATCTTAACAACTTTTTAAAGAATCTTTAGCTTAGTATTCTTTGTATTATGTACTAGCTGTCCCCTGCCATGCGTTGTTGTGGCCCAGTCTGTGTATATGTGTTTTGTTTGTGTATATATGCATATATGTATGTGTATATATGTATGTTTGTGTATGTATGTGTTTTTTGTGCATGCATTATGATGCATTTTTTTTGTTTTTTGGCTTTTAAGTCTCATCTGCTGTGCTTTTCAGTGTTTTTATGAGTGATGGTCAGTCGTTGGCCTGATCGATGTATTGTGTCCAAATTTGGTGTCATTTTGCCCAGTGGTTTTTGAGTTACGTTAATCCCACAAACGAACATTACATTTTATTTATATAGATTGAAAGGAGAAGAAATGGATGGGACTCATAATTGTACTTACTCTTGTTTTTCTCCAGGAGGAGTGTTGAAATAGCCAGTGGTTTTGAAACATATGAAAAGGTTTTGCATCACTCCTTGGGCTTTGCAAATCCTGCAGTAGAAGAGTTTATGGCAGGGAAACTAGGACTGAGCGAATCCAACCCACCTTCCTTAATGAGAGGACTACAAAGGTACATCAAACATCATTTCCCAGTAAAGTTTGTGATTGTTGAAGGCTTTTGTGGCTGGAATCACTGGGTTGCTTTGAGTTTTCCGGGCTGTATGGCCATGTTATAGAAGCATTCTCTCCTGACGTTTCGCACACATCTATGGCACTCTAACAACCACCATGTCAGACTACACAGAAAAGCCATTGAAATCCACACTCGTGAACAGTTTAACAGAGAGGAGAAAACAATGAAAATGAACAAAATCTGTCTATCAGTATTTTAAAAAACCTTGAAAATCAGGACAACACATAATTAACAACATTCAGAAAATGAGAATTCCAGACAAGTAACAATCAGGACCAGCTAACATCTCCCAACAAAGGATTCCCCCAGGCAGGAAGCAGCCAGGATTTGAAGCTAAAAGGCCATTCAGTGCTAATCAAGGTGGCCACTTGCAACATTCACACTTGCCTAAGACAGACAAGAGTTCTTTCTCCTGCCCTGGACGTTCTACAGATATATAAACCTCACTTGCCCTAGTTTCCAACAGACCTCTCAACCTCTGAGGATGCCTGCCATAGATGTGGGTGAAATGTCAGGAGAGAATGCTTCTGGAACATGGTCATATAACCCGGAAAACTCACAGCAACCAAGTTTGTGATTCTTTTAAATTGGGATGGGTCACAGGTTTAAATGTTTGGGATTTCAAAGACAGCTTTTAAAAGTGCAGTTAAATCATTTTCTAAACTCATTGGACAAAGCAATATTCTTAACCGCACCCTCATCCCCTTTTCTGTCATGTCTTTGATTGTAATCCTAAAGGTAGGGAACTGTTCTATTAATTCTTTTACTTTTAAGGGACCAAATACAGTGAAATATTACTTGTTGTAATAATAATGACCTGAATGCCAAGTGTATTTACCTACATTGTAAAGATGCGCTGTCTCCTGGAGTTACACTAAAATATTTATATTTCCTGAAGCAAACGTTTCAATGAAGAGGATTTTGCTGTGGCATTGCGGAAAAGACAATCTGCCTCGTGGGCCTTAAAATGGTACGCAGTTCTTCATTATTATTAGTATCTGTTTGTTTTATGTAACAGCGGAGAGAAAGAGCTGCCTCTTTGATTCAGGGCAAATGCATTCTGAATTTGTTCAGACCATTTGGAAGAGATAAAAACCCTGTCTGAAATGGTAAGTGCTGATGTTTGGAGTCGACATCAGCCATGACTTTGCTGAGTCAGTTGCTCTTCTCAATGGATCAAGCACAAAGCAAAAATGTTTTTAAAGTGGTCAGGCAAATATTTAAGGAAGTACCTTATTTTTAATGAGCTTCTGAACACTTAGGCTTCTCTACTAGTTTTCTCATTAAGACATATTAAATGGGATGGGTCTTTTAGTGGAATATTCAGTTTGAATTCATTTGCATGATAGTGTTGAATGTTCTTTTTGTTAATCAGAAAGGAATGAGGGAAAGTATAGTTTACGGACAACGGCTATGTCTTTGCGTGATATGTGATGTTATTTTATGTCTTTAATTGTATTTTATGACTGTTGTGGCATCAAATTGCTGCTGATTTGTAAGCTACTTTGAGTCGCCTTCAGGCTGAGAAAGGAGGGATAGAAATACCATAAATAAATAAATAATATTTAATAATGTTTTATCAGAGGAGGGTCATTTTTGATGGTTTTATACTGTTTTTTATCGATGGCATTGAATTTTTGCCAACATTGTGAACCGGTGTTGAAAAGGACAGTATACAAATACCGTAAATAATAATAATATAGTGGAGACTTGAAAGACTAGTTCTTTTGTATCTTTCTGTCACTTGGTGTCTGTATAATTTGGTCCATAAAATTACATTCAGGCTACAAGGCATGCAAGAAACAAACAAATATTGCATTACCAGTAGCCACTGCATTTCCCACCCACAGCTTATACTCAAGTCAATAAGTTTTCTCAGTTTTTTTGTGGTAAAATTGGATGCCTCGGCTTATATTCGGGTCGGCTTTTACTCGAGTATATATGGTACTTTGATGTGGATTCTTAGTGGAAATGCGAAGATGTTATTGAGTGAATTCTAAGACCCCTTGTTGGATTATTTTTCCTTTTAGTGTAAAGATTGGTGTTGATTACTTCAAAGAGGGCCGCCATGTGGATGCCATGAATGAATACAACAAGGCATTGGAAATAGACACACAGAATGTAGAAGCCTTAGTCGCTCGCGGGGCGCTGTAAGTGTCTCTTCCTTTGTCACCAGAAAACAGTGTTTTAAATGGGTTTCATGAGCTAATGTAAAATGTTTGTAAAATATTTTTTTCCTTCTAGTTATGCAACAAAGGGAAGCTTAAATAAAGCAATTGATGATTTTGAAGTTGCATTAGAAAACTGTCCAACGCACAGAAACGCCAGAAAATACCTCTGCCAAACACTTGTGGAAAGAGGAGGCCAGTAAGTTTACCTTGTTTCGAATGTCTTCCTAATAGTTTCCTTTTTTGCTTTTATGTTTCTGGTAAAAGATAGCAATTGACTGTGTATATGAAACCCGCTTTATTTATTTATCGTGTCAGGAGCAAACCAAACAGTTGTATTGCATTTTTTAACAAACAAACAAATATACAAAACACAAAGTTTGCAAGCTTGGTAGTTGATTAAATTTCCTTTGACCAGTAGCTGGCCACTTGGAGTGCCTCTGGTGTTGCTGCAAGGAGGTCCTCCATTGTGCATGTAGCGGGACTCAGGGTGCATTGCAGCAGGTGGTCAGTGGTTTGCTCTTCTCCACATTCGCATGTCATGGATTCCACTTTGTAGCCCCATTTCTTAAGGTTGGCTCTGCATCTTGTGGTGCCAGAGCGCAGTCTGTTCAGCACCTTCCAAGTCGCCCAGTTTTCTGTGTGCCCAGGGAGGAGTCTCTCATTTGATATCAGCCATTGATTGAGGTTCTGGGTTTGAGCCTGCCACTTTTGGACTCTCGCTTGCTGAGGTGTTTCAGCGAGTGTTTCTGTAGAATGAAATCCGCTGGGCAAGTGGAAGTACTGTATTCTACCTCTTATCTTCACATCATTTAGTTCAAGCCATTACCACTCCAGCACTTGAAATACCAGCTCATACCACATTACAGCATTTGGATACTTTTTTTTAATATGGTTTGTTTTTATGTGTGATGGTGTAAACTTTTCATCAGGACTATCCTGTGGATGGAGGAGGAGCTTTAACTCCTTATCTGCTAGGCACAGTGTCCATGAATATTCTCTTTCCTCTTCCACCCTCAGCACAGCAGTTAGCTTCCCATCCTTTTGCTCACGTTGACCCTTCAGGAAGGCAAATGAATAAAATTTCCACACTTACTTGCACTTTGTCTCATGTCTCATTGTTACAGCTTTGCACTATCCCATTCCCTTGTTTACAGCCGACATTGTTTACAGCGTATTGCCATTGGTTGATGAGCACAGCTTTATTGAGTCTTAGTTGATGTTTTATATGTATATGTGTTTTGTTGTTGTTTATTCATTCAGTCGTTTCCAACTCTTCATGAACTCATGGACCAGCCCACGCCAGATCTCTCTGACGGCTGTCACCACCCCCAGCTCCTTCAGAGTCAATCCAGTCACTTCAGGGATGCCATCCATCCATCTTGCCCTTCGTCAGCCCCTCTTTCTTTTTCCTTCTATTTTCCCCAGCATCATTGTCTTCACTAAGCTTTCCCGTCTTTTGATGATGTGACCAAAGTACTTCATCTTTGCCTCTAATATCTTTCCCTCCAATGAGCAGTCAGGTTTTATTTCCTGAAGTATGGACTGGTGGAATCTTCTCGCTGTCCAAGGCAGTCTCAAATTTTCCTCCAACACCACAGTTCAAAAGCATCTATCTTCCTTCACTCAGCCTTCCCTATAGTCCAGCTCTCACATCTGTAGGTGACTATGGGAATACCATTGCTTTACTTACGCGGATCTTCGTTGCCAGTGTGATGTCTCTACTCTTCACTATTTTTATCAAGATTGGTCATTGCTCTCCTCCCACGAAGTAAACATCTTCTGATTTCCTGGCTGCAGTCTGCGTCTGCAGTAATCTTTGCACCTAGAAATACAAAGATTGTCATTGCCTCCACATTTCTCCCTCTATTTGCCAGTTCTCGATCAGTCCGGGTTTTTTTATGTTCAACTGCAACCCAGCTTTTGCACTTTCTTCTTTCACTTTGATTAGAAGGCTCCTCAGCTCCTCCTGTGTTTTAATTATTGCATTTTGTACTTACTGTATTTTGTACTGTGTTTATTTTATGTTTTCTTTTTAAGTACTTTGTGCTGTATGTATGCCGCCCTGAGTCCCTTCGGGAAGATGGTGGCGGGATACAAGGATAAAGTTGTTGTTGTTTACATCTATTTCTTTTTTCCTCCTGGTTTTCCTCATCTTGTCTGGTTAATAAGGTTCTGTCACAGCTTACATTCTAAACTTCATCACAGCTTTTATTTTTAACCCCCTTTGGATGATACTGGGTGCAGGCAGATGTTCTGCAACCTCATTGTTTAACTGGGAGCTCAGCTGTACGCCTGATCTTTTTGTACATTTTAGATTTGTGGGGTTATAGATACATTTGTTTTGTAGAGTGGCCGAACTCTCAAAAATGTAAGATTCACTGTGGGAATCATATATATATTTATATAATCTGATACAAAATCATTTGCCAGGTTGGAAGAGGAAGAGAAGTTGTTGAATGCAGAGAGTTATTACAAGAAAGCTTTAAACATAGATGAGACATTTCAAGAAGCTGAGGATGCCTTGTTGAAACTTCGTAAGCAGATACAGGTGATTCTTTACTTTCTCTTAGTCGAATTGGGTACACGATGCTTAGGGCAATGGGGCTGCAACTGTTAAAACGACATGTGGCTTGTTTTTTGCAATTACTGCAAATGGTTAGGGAATGATTGGGAAGGCTTAATTGGAAATCTAGAATTCTGGATGTCCAGATCAGAGAAGTCCTAGAGCAGTGGTTCCCAACCTGTGGTTCATGGACCACCAGTGGTCCGCAAGAATGAAAATATGGTCCGCAGCCTCGCCATTACTACACTGTTGCCTTGAAACCATGCGGCAAGACGACTGATCTTATTTATTTATTTCGAGCTTTTGTAACCCGGTCTTCTCAACCTCTGAAGAGGGACTCAGACCGGCTAACAGCAGAGGGTTAAAATACAATAAGATAAACTACAGTAAATATCATAATACAATAGTACAAAAATACATTAAAATACAATTATACAACTTACAAAAGGTCAGTTCGTCAGAATAAATCATAAATTCATCGCCATCCGTCCGTGTGGTCAGCAGTTATTGACTCAATCATCATTCTGCGAATGCAGTATTCCAAAGCCATGTTTTTACCAGCTTTCTAAAAGTCAGGAGGGAAGGGGCAGATCTAATCTCCATCGGGAGGGAGTTCCAGAGCCGAGGGGCCACCACCGAAAAGGCCCTGTCCCTCATTCCCACCAATCACGATTGCGAAGGAGGTGGGACCAAGAGCAGGGCCCCTCCAGAAGATCTTGTGAAACCCTCTTATAGTGCCAAGGGAGAGGGGAGCTTGACTACCCATGAAAGATTACTACCACATCAGCTCTAGATTATTAAATATAGTTTTCTGTGGGCGAGCAGATGGCGACTATTGTATGGCATATGTTCTGCATCAGAAACTAGAGCTGATATGGCACCCCAAATAACCAAAGCAAATGTAAAGTTAACTAAAAACTTACTTGTAGCCCTTTTGGTACTAATGTTGGAGAGTGGTCCCTGGTCAAAAAAGGTTGGGAACCCCTGTCCTAGAGGGTCTCCTTTAGTTAGTATCTGTTTAATGGGTAGTTAGCTGAATTTCCAGAATATATTGCCTTTGCAATCAGCTGTATTGAAATAAATTGACTTACCAGAGATTGGAGTGCATTTGTGTTAAAGGCAGACATATAGTAGCTGTAGTCCTAAGGAACTGCAGCAAACATTACAGAGCAACACACTTGCCTTTTGTTTTGGGTCTGGGGGCAATGAGTTGGATACAGACGAGTGGAAACCATGTTTTATTTCAGCCTTGCAAAGCTAGATTCAGTTTCCCTACTCCACCATAGTGAATGTATTATGAAAAGATTTATTAATCTACAGGCTTTAGTTAGCATACTTACAAGGGTTGGTGAGCAAGGTTTCTAGCTCACAGGTTTATTTATAGCCTGTTTGAAAGACACTGAGGGTCACTTTGTACGTGCCTGCATTGGGCTTTCCCCCTCCAAGAAATGCCTTGCCATCATGAGAAGAGCACATGCAAAGACGGGTAACGTGTCTATTTTTATCAGCTATTTCTGCCGATATGTAAAGGAAGCCTCGTAGTAAGTGCTTCCCTTTGCATGTGCACCTCCCTAAAGAATGATGAGCAACGGAAAGTGGGCGAAAAGGCCTAAGTAGGCACTTGCAAGGCTGCCTTCAGTCACAGCTGAATCTGACAGGCTCTCCTCCTGTAATACTGATGATATGTTTTTCTCCAATGCATTTTCCTCTGAACTGGAACTGTTGCTGCTGTGTCTGACCTCTGCTCATCACCAACAACCCACTGGAATATGATTACGTGTGCAAACCATGCATCCAAACTGGGCTGTATTACGATTTCCAAATGGTTTGTATATATACACGGCCCCTTCCAATTACGTTTTAATTTGAATCTTATTTTATGCATAAAATCAAACGACGGTGCTTTTCTCGGTTGCTTTGTTTGGTTGATTATATGGCCAAAAATTACTTTGCTGTTTTTCCTTTTGATCTCCCATTCCCAACCTCTCAATTGCAAATGTCGTTATATTGAATTATGGCTGTCAATGCCCTTCCTGTTTCTCCCTCTTATTTTCTTTTAACATTTGGGGTATCAACTGCAATACGGCCCCACTATCTTGCTTATATATCCCTTCACGCTCCGTGCATTTATCATTTCATCTTCAATGTCTCCTGGGACATGATACCTTTGGGGTTGGTGTAAACTGTGTGCATGTGTATTTTGGGGTGGGGATGAAATTTGGGGAAAAATCCTTGGCTTAACACTGTGGCTTGTTAATGCAATATTTTTGATATTGGGATTCAAAAAAGAAATCTCTGGAAATGAGAGAGAAACAAGCGGCAAAAGAAGAGAGGCAAAAAGAGAAGAAAATAGAAACAAGTGCTGAAAAATTGCGTAAGCTCTTAAAAGAAGAAAAAAGGTAACTGCTCTTTATGTTGTGCTGTTTCTAACCTGAATGTCCCATAGAACATCACCTACACATGTGATAACGCTAACTCCTATTGTAAGTATGGTGGGCATTTCATCTTTTTGTTCTAGGGTTTTTATTGCAATCTGGAATATTTTGTTACAGAACTAGTGAGGAGTAAAGATAACAGACACTTTGTCATGATGCTAATTCTGGGTCATGGTTCTTAAATGCTTTAAGTCCACTTTGCCATAGATTCAGATGTACCGCAGGGTTGTCGGTATTTTTGGTGCATCAGTCACAAAGTTGCAAAACAAAATGTTCAAAAAATGTGGCAAACGGCCTGGTGAATAACTAGTGTGCAATTTCAGTGTCTTCCAGGTCTGTATTTTCAGATCCCATACTTCTGAAACATCTTCCATCATCGTTCATATAAAATATTGCATGATACAGAATATATTTTAAAACTTTTTTAAAAAAATAGGATTTATGAGAATTATATAAGTTATGAAGACAAGAAGCATGAGATGATGGGAACAGGGAAACTCAGTGAAGTTTTTCCTTTCAGAAAACTTTAAAACTGATACATATACCTCTGATTACGTCTTTAAAATAAAATCCAAAATGGGTTGCTGTGAGTTTTCTGGGTTGTATGGCCATGTTCCAGAAGCATTCTCTCCTGATGTTTCACCCACATCTATAGCAGGCGTCCTCAGAGGTTGAGARGTATATTGGAAACTAGGCAAGAGAGGTTTATATATCCGTGGAAAGTCCAGGGTGGGAGACAGAACTCTTGTCTGCTTGAGGCAAGCRTGAATCTTGCAGTTAATCACCTTGATTAGCAATGAAAAGCTTTGCAGCTCAAGGTCTGGCTGCTTCCTGCCTGGGAGAATCCTTTCTTGGAAGGTTTTAGCTGGCCCTGGTTGTTTCATGTCAGGAATTTCCCTGCTGTTTGAATGTTGCTCTTTATTTACTGTCCCGATTTTAGAGTTTCTAAAAAYTGGTAGCCAGATTTTGTTCACTTTCATGGTTTCCTCCTTTCTGTTGAAATTGTCCACATACTTGTGGATTTCAGTAGCTTTTTTGTGTAGTCTGACATGGWGSTTGTKAGARTRGTCCAGCATTTCTGTGTTCTCAAATAATATGCGGTGTCCAGGTTGGGTCATCAGGTGCTCTGCTATGGCTGATATCTCAGATTGAATTAGTCTGCAGTGTCTTTCATGTTCCTTAATTCGTGTTTGGGTGCTGCATTTGGTGGTCCCTCTGTAGACTTGTCCACAGCTGCATAGTATACAGTAGACTCTTGCAGAGGTGAGAGGATCCCTTTTGTCCTTTGCTGAACGTGGCATTTGTTGGATTTTCTTAGTGGGTCTGTAGATAGTTTGCATGTTGTGTTTCTTCATCAGCTTCCCTATGTGGTCAGTAGTTCCCCTGATGTATGGTAAGAACACTTTTCCTCTGAGTGGACCTTTCTCATTAATGTTGTGGCCATACAGCCCAGAAAACTCACAGCAACCCTGTGATTCTAGCCATGAAAACCTCTGACAACACAAAATCCAAGCTCCCTATTATTATTGTTGATGTCTTTGTCAATTTGCTGAGCTTGTCAACAAAAGTAACTACTGGCAATACCTCATGGTTAATTAAAATTTCTAGGTTGAAGAAGAAACGAAAAAGGTCAACTTCCTCTTCTTCCTCCTCCTCTTCCTCATCTGACTCTTCATCAAATGAATCTGCTTCTTCTTCCTCCTCCTCTTCCTCCTCCTCCTCTTCTGAGAAAAAAAGGTGTAAGCAAAGGAGTCGGAATCGGTCTGAATCCTCGCGTAACTCTAAAAAGCACACATCTAGGATTTCCTCTCATCATAGCAGGAAAGATGATTGCTACTCTCCTCCAGCCAATACCTCTGCTTCCTTCCTTAATCAGAAGCACGAAATGGAGAGGCTGCTGGAGAGGCATGACAGGTTAGCCCACCAAAAGCCCGAGGTAAGAACCAAAGAGAGGGAATTCCCTCTGTCAAGGACTTCTGTGGACGACGATCCTTACGGAGGTAGGTCTGAAGACTCCAGAGATTACTACAGCAGCTCCAAAACTCAAGCAAATACTACCAAACCAGAAAAACAGGGTAAGTCAGACAGAGTTTCCTCTCATAGGAGAGACAGTGCAGGTTCCTACTGCAGAAAGGCTGATGACAGAAACAAGACAAACAATTCAGGAAAACTAGGGAAAGAATTTGGGAGGAAAGAGCGCTATCGGAAGTACTCCACCTCTCCAACAGGGTCTGATTACTCAACCAAATCAGTTGAAAACTACAGACGATACACCAGCCAGTGGATAAATGAGCCCAGTAAATACAATGCTGACAACAGGCCAGAGTTGACATGGATTAAAAATGAAAGAGAGCATCAGAGCAGAGAAAGAGAGCCCACAAAAGCCAAGGAGTTGGATGAAGAAGCTACACTCAATGGTAAAGAACAACCGGGAAGTGGTGACAGGAAAAAGCTGCCCCAGAATTTGCTCAACATATTTAATCAGATTGCAGAATTTGAGAGAGAAAAGGGAAACAAACAAAACAATCAATAAATTAAAAACCATAATGTGAGTGTGAGAATAATGCAACTCCGGTCATTTGAGAAAGTTGTGCTCTTTTTAAAAAAAATCTTCCCTCTTTTAAGTATGCTTGCTAGATATTGATTTAGGGAACAATCAGTATGCAAGAGTTACATCATATCTTGTTTTGCAGTTGAATTTTTTGTGCTATTTAGGAAATTAAGGTTTAGTGGGGTGGATAGCTTTGGGGGAAAAAAACCCCTTCTTAGTTACTGTTAAGACTGCCGCCTGTGCGAACTGGTATCTAAATTGCACTTTACGAATGAAATCTCTCCTAGGCACCAATGACTGTTACTTTGTATTGTTAATATTTTCATGCATTGTTAAAGCAACCATACATTCAAATGTTTTAAATGGATGTGCCATCAATGTATATAGCCTGTCTTATAATTAAAAGTTGTTGTTTTGTACAAAATCTCTGGCTTTAAAAAAAAAACCTGGGGTTTTCTCATGAGCCAGGAGGCTTTCTTATGTTCTGCTTAACAGAAATGGGGAAAGTCACTTTGGGTCTCATTTTGGTCCTTGAGTAGTGTTTGAACAATTTTGAAGCTAATTCACCAACCCGGGTCCCAGATCTGTCAAATGCTCCCGCCCATTGACTTACACAGTACTCATTTTTTTGTTTTCCAATGATAACATTTATTCTTGTATCAGGATTGGATTACATGTGCAAGCTTTGCAGCCACCTGTTAGTGGAGACTGATGTTTACCATATTAGAGGAGGGAAGTGCAATGTTACTGCCCTCAATGAAAAACGTGTTTAAAGGCATCACCAGTAACTCCTTTCCGCCTTCAGTTATTTGAACTTTACACAAATAGCTGCCCTGTCAACAAGGAACACACTTACACAGTTTCAAAGTAAAACTTAAATTTGTTAATTATCTGTTTTTACAATATATAAGCTTCCAAGAATAAGGTTACTTCTAATTATGAGCATGTTAACATAGGAATGACTAAGTAGGTACAGTGGTATGTGTGAAAGGAAAGATCTAAAACAGCACTTGAGAAAATATGTACAAAAGCAGGCTACACAGTAGTAAGAAAAGCAGCAATATTTTAGGACTACAGCCAAAGCTGCTTTTTATGCCCATCTATCCCACAAGGTTTTTTCCTCATCATCTATCACAAGAGTTTTCTTTGTGAGATTTGTTGGGAGAGGCCTTTGCTTTCCTTGGAGGCTAAAAGGATGCGACTCGTCCAAGGTCACTTGGTGGATTTTCACACCTGACAGGAGTGTCAAACCCTGGTTTCCAATGCTCAAACTACATATTAATTGAGATGCCTCTAATTCTACTACTGAAAAAAAAAAAGACCAATTAGTTATTACAAGATTTTTCTTAAATATTTGCTCCATTTATCAATAATAGAATTTTCTGAGTATTGCCAAACGTTAATAATCTCAAACTACTAACTGCTTAAAATATAATCTACTCCTGTTTCGTACATAACATTAAAATGTGGGCTATATCTTATTTCTTAAACTGTGGGGCGTCAATGCAACCCTGCTAATTGGGACTTCTGCTGTGAGTGGATGCAGAGGGACTACTTTCCTTTGGAGAATGTGGAGAGAGAGTAGTGGAACGATCAGCCTTGGGATCCAAAGTCAGAGATACAACTTTAAGGTATGGTTGGCTGGATGACGAAACCGAACTCCTAGGGGACCTAGAAGAGAAGGAGAAACAATCACACCACAGATCTAATCAAATGAAAGGAACTGCAGAAGAACATGAAACACTTATAGTACCTCACTACCTCTGAGGATGCTTGCCATAGATGCACGCGAAACGTCAGGAGAAATGCCTCTAGAACATGGCCCTATAGCCCGAAAAAACCCACAAGAACCTAGTGATTCCAGCCATGAAAGCCTTCGACAATACATAGTAATAAATAGTAATAAATGTTCCACTTAAGTTTTACAGAAGTTGTTTAAATTCCATGGACTGCCATGGAAACCTAGTTCTGACAAAACCCAACCCGCGTGTTTACAAATTATGCTTCTTAGATTCTAAATAAGTGGCATATTTTAGAAGACTGTAAGGTATACATTTATAAACTAGTATTTAATTGCTGTGAAAAACAAATCAAATGAAGGCAGGTGAGGGAGAGAAACAAAACATACTTGGGAACAACTGCTCCCCTGCCTACCTTCTGGATTCCCAAACAATATCAAGAGCTACCTAGGGCAGACTCTCCTCTATGTTGAAAATGCAGCAAGACCTTTCTTGTCTGTGAAAAGTCTGCAAAGTATTATTTGTCTGCAAGTCTCACACTGTACAATTGGATTGCAAGGGCATCAATGAGTGATGGTTCACCAGCCATACTAATTGAGTGGATTCTGTGTAAAATGTATTGCCAAGTAACCAAAAGATATCAATCTGAAATACAGGTTTTGACTGTTGCCATGAGCTCATGAGAAACCACTCTTCAATTCAGTGCCACATATAATTTACAGGAAACTGAGCATGGGTGTTGGACATTTGAGGTTGTGAAGTAAGAAGAAAACATAACTATATGTTGCTCAGATAACATACAAAGAGTAATGTTAGCTGTTCCTAACATTATTTGCACTCTATACATGCACTGCTAAACATGGCAAAAGTAATAATCATCATCAACTTTATTTATATCCCGCCATCATCTCCCCAATGGGGACTCGGAGTGGCTTACATGGGGTCAAGCCCGGACAACATGTTACAGCAAAATAAAACCAAAACATAAACAACAAGCAACATAATCAAAATTACATAGAAAAAAGTATAAACACAATAACAAAATAACATTCCAATAAACACAATCACAATAACAGTGGGCGGGCCACATGTACAGGATAAAATGATTTTAAAATTCTAATGAGATAAAAATAGCAGGTCATTTGCAGGGAGCTCATAAAAAACACATGGTTGTGAAACTAAACTTCCAATTTGAAGGGCGTGTACTCCAGTGGCAGAAGCATTGAGGGGAGCAATAGTATGTTGTACACCTAGTCGCCAAAGGTGCAGCAGAAGTAATTTATCATTTAGAGACTAATTTTTTTTCTTTTGCTTAGCCCAGAACAGTTTCTTGTTCCTTTAATTGTCACAAATCTTTATTTTTAGTACTATTTACACCTTTGTCAAGAGATCTTTCAGTGACCATGATTGACTATGCAAAGGAATCTTATAGCAACATCCCCCCTCTCTCTATATATATATACACATATACATACACACACATACATATATATCAAAGGGAGAATGAAGTTGGAAACATAACCTTTTGTGAACTGAGTCACATGAGCATGAACTGCCTCTGCCACTCAGCTCAATGCCATGGTCACTATGTAGAAGGAAAGATTTCATTGTGAATCTATTTATACCAGAATACTTACATGCCTGAAGATGACGAGCTCTGACTAGATGACCGCAAACTAAGACGAGAGCAGGAATGTGTTGGAAATGGCATGGAAGCCTATGAAGGGGGAAAATAGTAATATTACATAGTGAGACATCAACAGATAGAAGCATACTGATTCTGTATTAGGGAACTATTTTCAAACAAGCATATCATTTAGCACTGTACAGATTATCATGCCTGTGAAGGGCTTCTGTTTCCTGCTCCTAATGCTCTGGTGTGGCTGAAAGATTGGAAGCACCAGTTCCAGATTACTGTCGTTTTGCATTCTAAATGAACTCTTCATCATGGATAGTGTAAACAAGCAGCTTCACAAACTTTTGAATTCATCTTGTTTCCATTATCTACCATAGTTAGATTAACTGCAGCACAACAAAATAGAAAACAGTTCTGAACTATTCAACACCAGAGTGGAGAGATTCGTCCACAAGTGAAGAATCACTGCAGTTTGTTCTCATTCTCATTACATTAATAAAAGGCTTACTACAACCTTCTTCAATTTGGATACTCTGCTGGTTAGAAAAGATGGGGGCAAGGGGTTATAGTCCATCACTAATGGAAAACTAAGGGTTAGGGAAAACATGTTCAGAGCACAGCCAAATACAATGCCTTTGCAGGAAATTCTGAACCAATAAGTCAACAAGAAATGGTACCTGCTCAAAGTATCTCTGAAAAGCTGTGTTTAACTCCGGATGCGTCACTGAAAGATCGAGGAGCATTTTGTCAATGGATCTAGTGAAGTCTTTCAGCGCACGAAGCTCAATGTCTTTTTCTTCCTGTGTTTCTGAATCAGTTTTTTTAAATGCTCGGATCTCTCTTGTTAATCGAGCAACCTTTTGAAACATAGCAATTAAAAGTCTTGCTTAAAACGGGCAAAGGTAACAACTAAATAGAAACTTATAGTACACATTTCCGAAGTAACTGACGATCTGGAACTTGTGTTCTAAACAAAGGTGAAACTTACTCTGGATTGACTTTCACCAACCTGTTTTCTGACTCTTTCCAGTTTGGGCTGCTGATCATCTACTTCTCTGGATAAGCGTGACACAGTTACGTTTTTCTCTGCTCTCTTCTCTCTGTAAAGAGCCTCATCTTTTAAGAGGGAATCCAGATTACCCTGCATGGTCTGGAGAGATAAATGAATACATTCACACATAAGCCTGTTTTGAAAGCTGTGTGTGTGTGTGTGTGTATTGCAATATAGTGAACAATACAGTGCTACAAAGCAAGAGTGATTGATAACTGGGAAATAGAGGGAGAAAACATGGAGGCAGTGACAGGCTTTGTTTTTCTAGGTGCAAAGATTACTGCAGACGCAAACTGCAGCCAGGAAATCAGAAGATGTTTACTTCTTGGGAGGAGAGCAATGACCAATCTCGATAAAATAGTGAAGAGTAGAGACATCACACTGGCAACGAAGATCCGCATAGTTAAAGCAATGGTATTCCCCCCTACAGATTTGAGAGCTGGACCATAAGGAAGGTTGAGTGAAGGAAGATAGATGCTTTTGAACTGTGGTGTTGGGGAAAAATTCTGAGAGCGTCTTGGACCGTGAGAAGATCCAACCAGTCCATACTTCAGGAAATAAAACCCGAATGCTCATTGGAGGGAAGGATATTAGAGGCATAGATGAAGTACCTTGGCCACATAATGTGAAGATAGGAAAGCTTAGAGAAGATAATGATGCTTGGGAAAATGGAAGGAAAAAGGAAGAGGGGCTGACCAAGGGCAAGATGGATGGATGGTATCCTTGAAGTGACTGGATTGACCTTGAAGGAGCCGGGGGTGGTGACTGCTGACAGGGAGCTCTGGCGTGGACTGGTCCATGAGGTCACAAAGAGTCGTAAACAAATGAATGAACAACAACACAGTGCTACAGTTGTAACACAGATTTATAAAATGGCTCTGTCATATCCTATTCAGTTAACAGGAAGCAGTCATTAAAGCATGGATGGTTCTTCACTGTGGAAAAACTGATCAGATAAGCCAATCATCTTTGGAAAGTTCCTGGATGAGTATTATAGGACAACCAGTATGATGTTGTGATTTGAGCAGTGGACAACAACTCTAGAGACCAGGGTTCAAATCCCAATTTGGCTATAGAAACCAAATGGAGCTACGGGAGGATACCACAAGATGAAAGGAATAACCAGAAAATTGTACAGTATAAGATAGTAATTGATATTAAGGGGGGGGGGAGGAATAAAGGACGCAACATTAAGCGAGATATGGGAGGAAGATCTAGGGATTAGAATAAAGGAAGCAGATTGGGTACAGTTATGAGATCAAAGATATTTAAATAATTTATTGATATGTTTTAAAGAAAATTATTATAAATTGGTTTGGAAATGGTACTTAACAAAAGTAAAGATTGCAAATATTAATAGGAACGCCAGAAAAAAACTGTTGTAGAGGTTGCCAGGAGGTGGGTACATGTATACATATGTGGTGGCAATGTAAATATGTAAATGAATTTTGGGGGAAGGTATTTGGAGAAATAGAAGCTGGAATATGAAGATAGGAAAAAGTGCAAGCATTGCATTGTTGTCACTATATAAAGTTAAGAAATTTTTTTTAAAAACAGAAAGATGCAATATATAACATGTTAACTGCAGCAAGATTACTGATGGCGAAGAATTGGAAAGGTAAAATAAATATACCAATTGAAGAATGGTATAAAGAACTAAGGAAACTAGCAATAAATGATAAATTGGCATCTAGGTTAAGAGTGAGGAAAGGGGTATGGAAAGAAAACGACTTTGATGAAGTCTGGGGAAAATTTATTGAGGACAGCTTAAAAGAAGAAGATGGGAAATTACCTCCACAAGAAGAAATTGTATTTTGGAAAGAGAATGTAAATTGAAGTGGCTCGGAAGGGGGGGGGCACAAAGGTGAAAAAAAAGGTATACAAGATATATATACACTTATAGTTGATGTAATGAATTGAGTACAGAATATAAGAGTATTGAAGGTATTGGTGTATTGATGTATTCTAAGAAAACCAATAAAATATTTTTTTACAAAGAAACCAAATGGATGATTTTGGGCAAGTCACATTCTCTCAGCCTCAAAGGCAATTCTTGCCAAGAAAACCCCATGATAGAGTCACCTTTGTGTCATCATAAGTCAGAAAAGACTTGAAATCACACAGCCAAAAGTATGATAGAACCTCTTTCAAAATTAATGGCACTCAGAAGCCTCTTTACCTGGATATCCTCCTGGAGCTCCTTAATCTGCCTTCTCTTGTACCTGTATTTTTCATCAGCAGCTCTTTTTTCTTCTTCCAATTTAATCTTCTCTTGATGTTCTTCAGCTATAAAAAAAATACCCCCAWTTAGTGCTGGAAATTGGGCAGKGTGACTGCATCAMCCACTYCCARCATGACAAAARAGTATTCACTCTACAATAAACCCTCCAATATCATCAACTCTGCAGAATCATAGAATCGGAGAGATGGAAGMGACCTYRTGSRCCATCCAGTCCAACCCCATTYGGCCRAGAAGMAGGRAAATCACATTCAGAACACCTCTGACARATGGMCAACCAGCCTCTKCTTAAAAGCCYCYAAAGAAGGAGCCTCCATCACACTCTGGGGCAGAGAGTTCCACTGCTGAACAGCTCTCACARTCAGGAAGTTCTTCCTAATGTTCAGGTGGAATCTCCTTTCTTTCCTGTAGTTTGAAGCCATTGTTYACCRTCCTAGTCTCCAGGGMAGCAGAAAACAAGCCTGCTCCCTMCTCCTTATGACTTYCCCTCACAGCTTGATACATGRCCCTCATAATGTCTCCTYTCAGCCTTCTCTTMYGCAAGCTAAACATGCCCAGCTCTTTAAGCTGTTCTCCAGACCCTTGATCATTTGAGTCACCCTCCTCTGGACACATTCCAGCTTGTCGACATCTCCCTTCAATTGTGATGCCCAGATTTGGAAACAGTATTCTTGGTGTGGTCTGACCAAGGCAGAATAGATGGATAGCATGACTTCCCTGGATCTAGACACTATACTCCTATTTATGCAGACCCAGATCTCATTGTGGGTTTTTTTGTTTTGTTTTGTTTTTTTTGCCACCGCATGACATTGTTGGCTCATATTGGACTCCCAAGATTCCTAATTATATGACACAATGTACGGAGCTGATGCAACATGTGTCACCGATCAACTGAGGGCTGCTTAAATTATGCATGTAAAGATCAAAGAACTCTTTTAAAATCCACTTTTTGAAAATTCAAGCTTTCCTTTGAAATTGTTTAATTCCCCACAATTTTTTCAGTGAAGTTGGTATAACTACATAACAACTAAATAACAAAACCAGCAGAGGGAGCAAAAATAAACAAAAAAATTCCTAAGGAGATACAGTGAAGTCACACTTTAATATTTCTGTATAAATGGGCAAGTCATTCTTCCTTTCAAGTCCTGCCCTTATTTCAACCATTCCTTTTGTATTCTTGCAAGAACGCTGTAGTATAAGTGATAACCACAATAATAATTATTCTTTTTGAAATAAAGTATATAAAACCAGTGGTAGCTTATATAAAACGTACTTGGTTGTTGTAGGCTTTTCCGGGCTATATGGCCATGTTCTAGAGGCATTCTCTCCTGACGTTTCGCCTGCATCTATGGCAAGCATCCTCAGAGGTAGAGAGGTCTGTTGGAACTTGGAACAACAAAAGATTCCCCCAGGCACTGCCAAGCCATCAAATGCTAATTAAGGTGGTCAGTTGAAACAGTCACATCTAGCTCCAACAGACAAGAGTCCTTTGTCTCACCCTGGTCATTCCACAGATATATAAACCCTTCTTTCCTAGTTCCAACAGACCTCACTACCTCTGAGGATGCTTGCCATAGATGCAGGCGAAACGTCAGGAGATAATGCCTCTAGAACATGGCCATATGGCCCGGGAAAACCTACAACAACCCAGTGGTTCCAGCCATGAAAGCCTTCGACAATACACAAAATGTACTTGATTAGTAGAAAAGTGGAAATATTTTTTCTTTATAATTCAGGTGTTTGTTGTTTATGTTGTTTTAGCTCACTGTTGGTATGTATGTATTTTTAATTGATGTCATTTTTGATAATAACAACAGCTAAGCAGGGATGTGAGCTGAGATCCAGTTCTTTGCTTCCTTATTTCTAATTTCTGACCCCAAATGCACTAACATGTAGGCTCCATTTGAGTTTGCTTGTTCCAAAGCACAGCCTTTTCCTGCCTTCCTTTGCTCTTCCACCTCAGATATCTATTTTCTGCAGACGACACCATATCGTCATCTTTATTTATACCCTTCCACCATCTCCCCGAAGGGACTCGGGATGGCTCACAAAAGCACTCCAAATGCCAGACGTTAAATAAACAATACACAAGCATATGAACGATGACAACATAAATCTATTACAGCTACAATTTCCTTACTGTTCTCTGTGACTTTCCTGAATGAGTCCCGGTAGTTGCTATTGCAGTTATTAAGCACATGCAAAGTATTTTCTAAGGCAACACATTCTTTCTCAGCATTTTGGATCTTTGCATCCAATGCGTCTCCTTCACGCTGAAGATCCTCCTTTTCCTGGGCAGCCTAGAAAGAAAATAAAAATAGAATTTAGACACTTAAGGTGAATAACCAAATCACAATATCCTGAAAATGTCTCTTGCCCAGAGAGTGACTGCTCAACTAGGTATCAGAAAAAAGATGAGTAGTAAGCAGTGAAATAAAGTCAGATTTTCCCTGCTTCATCAAGTCAAATATTGTACTACAATGTTTACCTCCTTTCTCTATCAATTTCTTCTGATTTCTGTGACAATTTTCATTTGTTTTAAGTTTAGGCAACAATTAGGATCCATGACCATGGTGGTGCAATGGGTTAAAACCTTGTGCTGCTGAACTGCTGACCTGAAGGTCAGCAGTTTGAATCTGCAAGACGGAGTGAGCTCTCATCTGTCAGCTTCAGTTCCTGCCAACCTAGCAGTTCGAAAACATGTGAGTAGATAAATAGATACCACTTTGGCGGAAAAAGGCAAGAGATGCTCCAAAAGCTTCCCAGAGCCAGAGATGAGCACCGCCTCCAGAAGCCGGAAATGAAATGAGAAGCCTCTGCCTTTGCTTGTGTTTGTGGGTCTCATTGTATATGATTGGAAAGGCACTGAATGTTTGCCTATGTATGTAAATGCTGTAATCCACTCTGAGTCCCCTAAGGGAGAAGGGCGGAATATAAATAAAGTATATTATTATTATTATTATTATTATTATTATTATTATTAATAATAATAAAGAGTATAATAATATATTTATTTATAATAAATGAAGTGTATTACTACTATTATTATTATTATTATTATTATTATTATTATTATTATTATTATTATGTGAGATGCAGAAGTCTCCATGATAGATAGGAAGCACGCAATGCATTCAAACTTGAAAAGGAGGCATCATGACTTTTCCAGTACTCAAATTATAATTGCAAAGGTGACAAAAAATAATTTGGGATTAAGAATGTACAATAAAAACTCTCACAAAGCCCATTAGAGAAAATTAAATAGGTGATAGCTGTGAGCAGGTCTAGAAGATGAAGAAAGAAGAAGGAGGAAACAGAAGATGAACTCCCCACAGAATGGACTTGAAGACAACCAATACCCCCGATACCCAATCCCCCCGCAGCCCTTTTGTGTCATCTCTTATCCCCCAGCTTTGCATTTTACTGCTCTTGTGTGTGTGTGTGTGTGTATGCTTGTATAGGTGCTCTTTTTCTTTCTTTAATGTTCTTTACTTCTCTTTTCTTCTCTTTTTTTTCTATTCTTCTGGATCCCTACTCTCTACCCCAATCAATTCCAAATCTTTTTATTGTACAATTATGGAAAAGTCTTGCAATAAAGATGATTTTTTTAAAAACCCCAATACAAAGCCCAGTTCTTTTGAACAAACCATAATACTACTACCATAATACAGGAGAGCAGGAAAGTTAAAATGAAAACAAGTAAAAAACCTCTTGTGGTGGATGAAAGCAAAATAGCAGTAAAACATGGCTGAAGATGGTTTAAAAAGAGAGGTGGCAGAGTATAGATAAAAATTGGATAATTCTACAGAGTTCTCACACTGTTCAGAGATAGCTGTCTTACCTTGATGACATAGTAAGTATGCGTTTTCTCTTCTTCTCCTTCTGGGGGCATCATTACAATAGTAATAATTTCATATCTCCCCCTCAATTTCTCAATTTTGCTCAGTCGCTCATGAAACTCTAAGCTGGTTTGAAAGAAATTTTAAAAGTTAGCTCACGTATTTGATGGGGAAAATAAGATTATGGTTCTCTATGTATACTGTATTCTTTACTTAACAAGCCAAGTGTTGCATCGGGAACCATATTAGCTATGGACCACTAAATTTGGGGGATTAGAAATATGGAAAATAAGTTACTAATTACTTGTTTCCAAGCAGTACACTTAGACCACAAACCTGAGGATTTAGTGGGATGAAGTCAAATCAAGAAGAGAAGGCTGAGAGGAGATATGATAGCCATGTATAAATATGTGAGAGGAAGCCACAGGGAGGAGGGAGCAAGCTTGTTTTCTGCTTCCTTGGAGATTAGGACGTGGAACAATGGCTTCAAACTACAAGAGAGGAGATTCCATCTGAACATGAGGAAGAATTTCCTGACTGTGAGAGCCGTTCAGCAGTGGAACTCTCTGCCCCGGAGTGTGGTGGAGGCTCCTTCTTTGGAAGCTTTTAAACAGAGGCTGGATGGCCATCTGTCAGGGGTGATTTGAATGCAATATTCCTGCTTCTTGGCAGAGGGTTGGACTGGATGGCCCATGAGGTCTCTTCCAACTCTTTGATTCTATGATTCTATGAAAAGAACTATGACTGTAATGAGAAAGAGACTTTTGAGTGCTTTCCTGATGGTCTCATCAGTGGGACCATGACGTTTCCAGTAGGATAGTGATATAATTATTCCCTATCAATCATACACACATAACTTTTTGCTAGTGTTTTAACAATGCCATATGAAAGTATATGAGACAAGGTCCAACTTATGCCAATCATAGAATCGTGGGTCATCCAGTCCAACCCCCTGCCAAGAAGCTGGAAAATCGCATTCAAAGCACCCCCGACAGATGGCCATCCAGCCTCTGCTTAAAAGCCGTCAAAGAAGGAGCCTCCACCATACCCCAGGGCAGTGAGTTCCACTGCTGAACAGCTCACATAGTCGGGAAGTTCTTCCTAATGTTCAGGTGGAATCTCCATATTTTGAAGTCATTGTTCCACGCCCTAGTCTCCAGGGTAGCAGAAAACAAGGCTGCTCCCTCCTCCCTATGACTTTCCCTCACATATGTATACATGGCCATCATCATGTCTCCTGTCATCCTTCTCAATGATCAAATTTAGCTCACGTATTTGATGAGCTATTGGCCAAAAGCTTGTAAAAAGCTACATGTTGTTGAAGCACCCTTGGTGAAGCTACTACTTCCAATAAGAAGCAATAGCTGAACCACAATAATAGAGTAATGTGTTACCTCTATTCCTGCCAAGGATGACAAGGCTTTCTGCACCTCCATTTATGCTAGAATACTATTGGTGCCCAATCCTTCCCAAATCAGAACTCTTCTTTAGTCCCACACAGAGAGACAAATACAGCATTACGTTGCAGATTTCGGCAGCAAGGGAAGACCCATCCAAGTCACTTTACCCAAATATTGAAGGATTTGGTATTTCAGCCTGACAGTTGCAAAAGCTGCCCCCCCCCCCCCCCAATTGATTGCATCTTAATGTTGTCACTGCTAGAAGAGAATAAGCAACAGCAGGAAACAACCCCAAATCAAATTATATGCAAGTGCCAATTAGTCACATAATTATCAAAGAAAAACAGAGTCTGCCTGCCTGCCTGGTGAGAGGTTAAGCTCCAGTCTCACCAAATCACTCTAATTTTCCTACTGCATGGGCTGCGGAGGGAAGAGGGAGGTGGGAAGGAAAAGTTGCCAATTGCCAACCGAATGTTCATTTCCCAGTTGGGTTTAACCACCCACTGCACAGAGGTTCCTATTTCCCAGTTACTTAAGAGTTGCACAAACAGGCCTTTGCCATTCCCATTTCTTTGTTTGTTTTTTTATTAGCAAGAATTGCTAGGACCCATTTCTGCTCTACATGAAATCAGGCTCTAGTTGAAAATAAGTGCCTGCTTCTGTTTTGCTCCTGTTTGAGGAGGTCCCTATCATGAATTTACAGAAGGCAAAATGGAACTGTTTCTAATAGCCATTTGGGGAAAATACACAAACATTAGCAGGGTCTGCACCAGGGTGTAGTAGAATATTGAATGAATCTGGGAAAAATCAGAATCGAATTCCAGTTCAACCATGAAGACCCCCAGGACACCCTGAGCCACCCTTTTCACCCTAATTCATTTCAGATTAAATTTGGACCTCAGCAAGCGAGAGTTCAAAAGTGGCAGGCTCAAACCCAGAACCTCAATCAATGGCTGATACCAAATGAGAGACTCCCTCCTGCGCACACAGAAAACTGGCACCACGAGACGCAGAGGCAATCTTAAGAAATGAGGCTACAAAGTGGAATCCACGACATGCGAGTGGGGAGAGGAGCAAACCACAGACCACCTGCTGCAATGCGACCTAAGCCCTGCTACATGCACAACAGAGGACCTTCTTGCAGCAACACCAGAGTGGCCAGCTACTGATCAAAGGACATTTAATAAAATACCTGCAAATTTTGCGTTTTGTTTGTTTGTTTGATTTTATTTTATTTATTTTTGTCATGTCAGGAGCGACTTGAGAAACTGCAAGTCGCTTCTGGTGTGAGAGAATTGGCCATCTGCAAGGGCATTGCCCAGGGGACGCCCAGATGATTTGGTGTTTTTATCATCCTTGTGGGAGGCTTCTCTCATGTCCCTGCATGAGAAGCTGGAGTTGATAGAGGGAGCTCTCCCTGAATTCGAACCTGTGAGCTGTCAGTCTTCAGTCCTGCCGGCACAGGGGTTTAACCCACTGCGCCACCGGGGGCTCTGTTTGTTTTTAATTTAATACAACTGTTTTGGTTCGCTCCTGACACAATAAATAAATAGTTTCAGGTAATGAGCCCCAGGTGGCACAATAGGTTAAACCAGGGATCCTCAAACTTTTTAAACAGAGGGCCAGGTCACAATCCCTCAAACTGTTGGAGGGCCAGATTATAATTTGAAAAAAATATATGAATGAGTTTCTATGCACACTGCACATATCTTATTTGTAGTGCAAAAAACACTTTGAAGCAATACAATAATTAAAATGATGAACAATTTAAACGAATATAAACTTATTAGTATTTTAATAGGAAGTGTGGGCCTGCTTTTGGCTGATGAGATAGGATTGTTGTTGTTGTTGTGTGCTTTCAAGTTGTTTCAGACTTAAGTTGACCCTGAGCGAGGGCCAGGTAAATGATCTTGGAGGGCCATATCTGGCCCCCGGGTCTTAGTTTGAGGACCCCCTTATGCCAGCAGGACTGAGGAGCAACAGGTCAAAGGTTCAAATCTGGGGAGACCGTAGATGAGTTCCCTCTATCAGTTCCAGCTCCCCATGCGGGGACATGAGAGAAGCCTCCCACAAGGATGGTAAAACATCAAAAACATTTGGGCAGCCTCTGGGCAACACCCTTGCAGACGGCCAATTCTCTCACACCAGAAGCGACTGATAGAATGGAAAATACAAGAAAGCCCCTGAAATTGATTGCTAGTTATATATATATATATATATATATATACACACACACACACACACACACACACACACACACACACAACCTTCACGCAAACAGCCGGTTTCCTAGGTCAGGAGAAATGTTAAATATGGACTTGATCCTTGTAAACATTGTGACTGTAGCACATTTCTTCAGTCTTAGATGTAGACTTGAGAAGATGCTTCCAGTCCCAGTGTCATCAGCTTCATGAACTACTTACCTCAAAGTCTGACGCTCCTGTTCCATCACTCTTATCTGCGTCTCAATCATTGCTTGGTGAACTTTGATGTCTGCAATTCTTTGATCCATTGCTGCCTTCAACTGCTGCTTCTGTTTTTCTAGGGAGACAACTTTCTCTGCCTTATTGTACAAGATATCTCTGACCCGTTTCAGCTCCAGCTTCAGGAGATTATCTTCAATCATCATGTCCTTCAATCATCAGAATAAGAATCATGTTTAGTACTATGTCTTATCAAACGTAACCTGTGTTTTGAAGGTGTTCACTTGATTTCTGAGAATTGTGACACTGGGACTGATGTGGAAGGCTGGTGTGATAGCACAAAGACCCAAGTGTGTCACCTATTTATTTATTTTTAATCTGTATACTTCAAGATTAGAGAAACTATCTCCACACCTGCTTATCGGCTCTGGCTTTTTTCAGTAGCTTCTCTGATTTGTCAGTGAAAAGGTTCAGCTCATCTACACGGGTTTGCAAACCTGCCATTTCTTCTCCAGTCTTATTCATAGCCAACTTGATAAAATGAATGTCACCCTGGAAAGAAAGAAAATAGGTTTAAATAGTTCATTCAAGAATACCATATTATGATTCAGTGCTTAGGCATTTAGGATTCGAAACAGGACACTGAAGTAAAGATGGCATGGCTCCCAGAAGGCCAAATGACTAACCTTCTCACTTTTGTATGTTTGGATTACAGTTGTATCCTCCTACTTCTTTTAAAATGACAAATACATAATGATGGGTCAAAAAGTAATGCCTCCAACTTTCATTTCTTTCACAGCTACTGGACTATCTATGCATTTATTTATTCATTTATTTATTTATCGTGTCAGGCAACCAAACAGTTGTATTACATTTTTAACAAAACAAACAAACAGACAAAACACAAATTTTGCAAGTTTGGTAGTTGATTAAATGTCCTTTGACCAGTATCTGGCCACTTGGAGTGCTTCTGGTGTTGCTGCAAGAAGGTCCTCCATTGTGCATGTGGCAGGGCTCAGGTTGCATTGCAGCAGGTGGTCAGTGGTTTGCTCTTCTCCACACTCGCATGTCGGATTCCACTTTGTAGCCCCATTTCTTGAGGTTGGCTCTGCATCTCGTGGTGCCAGAGCGCAGTCTGTTCAGCGCCTTCCAAGTCGCCCAGTCTTCTGTGTGCCCAGGGGGGAGTCTCTCATTGGGTATCAGCCATTGTTGAGGTTCTGGATTTGAGCCTGCCACTTTTGGACTCTCGCTTGCTGAGGTGTTCCAGCGAGTGTCTCTGTAGATCTTAGAAAACTATGTCTGGATTTAAGTCATTGATGTGCTGGCTGATACCAAACAGGGGATAAGCAAAGGCAGGGTGTAAATGAAGCAAACAAAAAAAAAAGCTGGAAAGATTCTCTGCCTTGGTCCCTATAATCACATAATTGGACTGACCTAACTTCCCGCAGATGTCCAGGTGTGCAAATAACCGGACTAAGGCAGTGTTAATTTCATCCATGGTGTGTAGGGCGTCAGAACGCGCCACTATGATATATGACAATCTATGGCCATGAGATATATAGAGATAACCCTACTCTACTAATATAGCCTTTTCTTTTGCCAATTGACTGATTAGAACCATGAATCTGAAGCTAAAAGAAAGAGTCATCATTTAATTTCTGGCAAAAGTAGGTCAAGCTCCTAAGGAAATCCATAATTGCTTGAAGAATGTTTATTGTGATATTATGATTTGGCCCCTCCTGACCTTTACCTGTTTGGACCTCTGAAAGACAGCCTATGTGGTTTCAGAGTCAATGACTTGAATGATGTTAAAAACAGCTTTAAAATCATGGGTCACGAAACAAAATCCTGAATTTTTCCAAAACGGTTTTGGTGCCTGGGTTAAATGATGGCGCAATTTGTATACAAATTGATGCTGACTATGTTGAATGGTTGTTTTGCATACAGTTCAGGCTATGATGTGTAGCAACTTCTGCTGTTATAGTTTCATTCATAATGTTTTTATGACACAAGAGGCAAAACCTTTTGACCCGCCCTTGTATAAGTGGCATTTGAATTTTAATTATTGAGCAATGGTGTGTATGTGTACAGTGTGGTGCTGCATTTTTATTTTTTGATTGAAACTATGTTTTAAATATGTTGCAAATGTCAACTGGTCCTGGTGAAGGGGGCACAAACTAAGGATAAGGGGAAGGGGGGGGGGGAACGGTATAATAATAATAATAAAGAAATAAAACATGTATAAGTAGATAATAGGTGTGTGGTACAGGTATATGTAGTATACAGTGGGGGGAAAAGATTCTGCCTATTGCAGATTCAGTCTTCCCAGTCTGGTGCAGAGCAAAACTTTTGTTTCTGGTGTCCTTCAACAGCTCTTTGGCCTTCACCATAGTGGAGTTTGGAGTGTGACTGCTTGAGGTTGTGGACAGGTGTCTTTTATTCTGAGAACAAGTTCAAATAGGTGCCATTACTACACACAATAAGTGGAGGACAGAGGAGCCTCTTAAAGGAGTTGTTACAGGTCTGTGAGATCTGTAATCTTGCTTGTTTGGAGGTGAACAAATACTTCTTTTCCACCATAATTTGCAAATAAATTTTTTAAAAATCAGACAATGTGATTTTCTGGATGTGTTTTCTCATGTTGTCTCTCATAGTTGAGGTCTACTCTATGATGTCAATTACAGGCCTCTCTCATCTTTTTAAGTGGGAGAACTTGTACAATTGGTATCTGACTAAATACTTTTCCCCCACTGTAAATTGTAATGGAAAGTTTAAAAAAAATGATAAGAAATATACTTAAAGATGTTTTTTTTACTGTTAGATTGTATATACTATGACACAGCCTTCTGTCTAAGATGTTGTAAAAAGAGGAAATACTGTATGCTTATACATTTTGTTTGATTCATTTATAAATAAAATTAAAAAATAGAATAGCTCAATGTCATCTGTTTTAATTGTACTTTAATAAAACTAGGATTCATTTTTTTAATTCTGTAAATTAATGTGTTAGCTGGATCTTTCTTATAAATCATCCTATAAGATTCCCCCCAGGCACTTCCAAGCCATTAAATGCTAATCAAGGTGGTCAGTTGAAACATTCACACCTAGCTGCAGCAGACAAAAGTCCTTTGTCTCACCCTGGTCATTCCACAGATATATAAACCCATTTTCCTACTTCCATTTTTTTTTTTAAATTTTTATTGATTTATCACATTTATTACACACTATTGCATTTTGTACATCAGCCTCTTTAACATGTTGTTTTGTTGTTTTGCTTTGACATTTCCCCCCCTTTTTCTCTTTTTTCCCCTTTTTTCCACCACAGTGCTCCCCTCCACCCATTTCAAGCCACCATTCTTACATTTCATCTGTCCAAAATTTCATTTCTTCTTGTGACGGTAATTTTCCTTCCTTATTTTTTAATCCATTTACCACAAATCTTCCCCATACAGCATCAAAATCGCTTTGTTTCCATATACCTTTTTTAACCTTTAATATACATGTCAATTTATCGTTTATTGCTATTTTCCATGCTTCTTTATACCACTCCTCTATTTGTATATTCATTTCTTTTTTCCAATTCCTTGCTATAAGCAGTCTTGCTATAGTTAGTAAGTTTGTTATCGCTTCTTTATCCTCCTTTTTCAATTGCTTATTGTTATATAGTGATAGTAATGCTATACTAGGACTTTTATCTAATTTTATATTCATTATAGTTTCTCTCAAAAATTATTTACCAATAGATAACAGTCAGAAACTATCACAATGAGAAAATGCCTCTAGAACATGGCCATATAGCCCAGAAAAACCTACAACAACCCATCCTATAGAGATATTGTCCAAGGCCAAAAAGGCTTAGGTTTGAAGATGGAACATTAGACTGTCCTCTAAACAAAACTGCCAACTTCCTGTGAGATACAAAGTTGATGAGCCAAAAAGGCTTAGGTTTGAAGATGGAACATTAGACTGTCCTCTAATGTCCTCTAAACAAAACTGCTAATTTCCTGTGAGATACAAAGCTGATGCTACCTGGAGTTTCTTCTGCTGAGCCTGCAAAGTGTTGTATGCCTGCTTCTTTTCATCTGCTATTTTTGAAAGTTCTGCAACTTTTTCTTCCAAAACTTGTCTCTCGTCTGTGTTAAGCTCTCCCTCCATGCGTGACAGCCTCCTCTCCACTTGCTGTATATAGAAATCCTGTTAATTTTTTTTGAAGCAAGAAATAAAATTATCAGAGAGGATGAAAAACAAACAATTGGAGACATTTCTATAAGCGCTGAAACATTTAACACAGAAAAAATTAGCTTGAGGACAGGCACCTAATTAAGTTATTGTCATTTTACAATTGTTTCTGGCCTGTAGGCTTTCTTGTTTGCAGACTGTCTTAAAGTGGCTGGTGGGTGATCCTGGCTCACAAGTAATCTTCTAAAAATATAACAAAGCATCCTTAGCCCAGATAGTCTGCTCTAGGGAAGCTTACCACCATGTAGCAACCCTACCATTTACCACTGGATGCTGACAGAAAGGGGTAAATTTTCAAAGTGATGCACAAGAGTCATGCATATCAATCTCATTAAGAAATAACAGGATTTGGGCTTGTTCATCTCTTGTATTGCTTCGAAATTTTACCCTGAAGCAGCCATGGTTCAAAGCAGCCATAGCAAAAGGCTGATTTTGGAACACATACTATCCATTTTGAAACATATTTATTTGGAAGTAAGTAAAATATACTTCAAATGTATTTTTTTTATAGATATAGGTTCCACATATACTTTTTTCTTTATAGAAACAGGTATCACTGAAATGATTTTATGACCAAAAGGGTAGAAGAATATCTATACCTCACTCAAAAGTCAATTAAACATACATTAAACACAGTATTTTAACCATTTTTAAAAAAATAAAATAAAAATAGTCTGTGTCCTCAAGAGAGCTGGAACTGCACAATCTGTTACCAGAAATAACAACAGAAAAGGGAAACATGACTAACCAAAAAGAAATAAGCTGAAAATTATTTAGTTAAATGCTTTGGCTGCTTCATTAGTTGGTTTCCAAATCTGAAAGCCAAGACAAGGCAAAGAATGGGGAGGATTCATAGCAATGGTACATCAACTGTAGATAAAAATTTAGGTCACGAGAAAAAGCTCAAGACATTGAAGGATAGCCTTTTCCATTTTTGTCATATTTTTGTCAAATTCTTCACAACCACAACCACAACCGCAGAAGCCACTTTCATAAGAATTCTTTCCATTCTCAGCACTGACTCCTTGGTTCAAAATGCTTGGCCTGAAATCTAACTGTATGTTTCAGATGAAGATGAAAACAGAAGCTGAAATGTTTAATTCAAGCTTTTTTTCAATTCAAAGTCAATCTTTGTTCGGGCACTATGGCCCATATTATTATTATTATTATTATTATTAATAATAATAATAATAATAATATTAATATTCCCTTCTATCTCTCTATCACTCTCAGAGTGAATTACAACATACACAGATAGGCAAACATTCAATATCTTTAATACAGTGGAATAACAAAAGCATAGAACAAATAAAATAGAACAAAGGTAAAGGCTTCCCCTTTCATTTCTGGCTTTCTGGAGGTGGTGTTCAAGTTTGGCCATGGGGAGGTGCTCTTGTTCCATTTCCAAGCCAAGGAGCCTGTTGTCTGTAGACACCTCCTGGACATGTTGCCAGCATGGCTGCTTGGGCACCTTTATTACCTTCCCGCCAAAGCAGTACCTATTGATCTACTCACATTTGCATGTTTTCAAACTGCTAGGTTGGCAGGAGCTAGGGCTAACAGTGGGAGCTCACCCCAACCTGCGGCTTCAAACTGCCAACCTTTTAGGTCAGCAGATTCAACAGTTCAACGGTTTAACTTGTTGAGCCACCGCACCCTTCTAAGCTTTTGTGACTACTTGCATCTATCTAGGATCATGAGCCATCAGATTTATCTATATTCCCAACACACTCTTCCTGTTCCTTACCTGGTTATAAATGAGCTCTTGTTGCTTAAGTGTCTCTGCAAACAGATGGGCCAATCGGCTGTGAAGATTTTTCATCTGTCCTCGGCGTCCATCAATTTCAACTGTGACACCTTTTACTTTGTCTTGAAGGTCTTTCAACTCTTTTGTTTTCTTGAAATGTGTGTCTCTCAGTTGATCTGCTTGGACCTCTTTCTCCTGTAGGTATTAAAAGCATAGCATGAAATAATTTGTTGACTAAACAGAGGTATGAATTTAAACTTAACTCGATTTAAGTTAGGTATCTGACTGCTATGATTTGCTTTGTATGTTTTTGGGGGTAGCTACTTATTGTGCTCTGATCCCTATTATTTTCTTCCTTTGTGCAAATGCCAGGCTACTCACATCTAGTCTTAGTCCCTGCTTTTTATAAAGTGTTTTTTGAAGGGCCATCGCTCAGGACAAATGCCCCACCTGCTTGATGGACAGACCACCCCTGACCCAAGGAAAAGAAACAGCCTAGTCTAAGATTTATATTTCTAAATTCTTCAACCAGCAAGATACAAAATACAGTTAGCAATTACCATGACATGCGGAAGTAACATTTAGTTCCTTCTAATTTACTAATATTTTAATGTACTTATGTCGATTGTTTAAAAATATCTTAAATTATGTGAAGTGTTAAATAAGATTCATCTCTTGCGAGTGCTTTGCTACAGATATGGAAGGAGTGGGGGCATCCACTAAAGAGCAGAAGCTCAAATGGAAAGAATGAGATTCTGAATGCATTATCCCCTGCCTATATCTTTTCACAGTCCACTAATAGATGTGACAAATAGACATGTATGGGTAATTATGATGGGAAGTACACTTCTAACTAACACATTGCAGACATTGTTCAAGATCATTTCTTCCTAGTTAAAGTATCATCCACTTAGGCTGTGGAAGTGTTATGCTTATATCATCTTGAATTATCGACATCCTATATAGATTGCAAAAGAATTATTGGAAAAAATCAACTTATATCCCCATCCCAAAAAAGGGGATGCTCAAACTTTCATACAGTGGCACTTATTTCACATGCCAGTAAGGTAAAGCTCAAGATCCTGCAAGGTAGGCTACAGCAATACATGGAGCGAGAGTTGCCGGATGTACAAGATGGGTTCAGAAAAGGCAGAGGAACAAGTGACCGAATTGCCAATATCCGCTGGGAGGGAGTTTCAGAAAAACATCTATTTCTGTTTGTTGTTGTTGTTGTTGTTGGAGGCTTCATGGCCGGAATCACTGGGTTGTTATAGGTTTTTTCAGGCTATATGGCCATGTTCTAGAGGCATTCTCTCCTGACGTTCCCAACAGTTTCGCCTGCATATATGGCGAGCATCCTCAGAGGTTTTATTTATTGACTATCCCAAAGCCTTTGACTGTGTGGATCATAATAAATTGTGCCAAGTTCTTGGTGGAATGAGGATACCAAGCCACCTTGTCTGTCTCCTGAGGAATCTGTATAACGACCAAGTAGCAATAGTAAGAACAGACCATGGAAAAACCAACTGGTTCAGTATTGGGAAAGGAGTACAGCAGGGCTGTCTACTCTCACCCTACCTATCCAACTTGTATGCAAAACACATCATGCAACGTGCAGGGCTTGATGAATGCAAGGCTGGAGTTAGAATTGCTGGAAGAAATATTAACAACCTTAGATATGCAGATGATACCACTTTGATGGCTGAAAGTGAGGAGGAACTGAGGAGCCTTCTAATCAAGGTGAAAGAAGAAAGTGCAAAAGCGGGATTGCAATTAAACATAAAAAGCCAAGATAATGGCTGATTGATAACTGGCAAACAGAGGAAGAAAACGTAGAGGCAGCGACAGAATTTCTAGGTGCGAAGATTACTGCAGACACAGATGGCAGACAGGAAATCAGAGGTTTACTTCTTGAGAGGAGAGCAATGACCAATCTCGATAAAATGGTGAAGAGTAGAGACATCACACTGCCAGTGTGACACTCGCAACGAAGATCTGTATAATTAAAGCAATGGTATTTCCCGTAGTAACCTATGGATGCGAGAGCTGGATCATAAGGAAGGCTGAACGAAGGAAGAGAGATGCTTTTGAACTGTGGTGCTGGAGGAAAATTCTGAGAGTGCCTTGGACCGCAAGAAAATCAAACCAGTCCATACCCCTGGAAATAAGGCCTGGCTGCTCAATGGAGGGAATGGATATTAAACTTGTACACAATGTATTGTCGAAGGCTTTCATGGCCGGAATCACTGGGTTGTTGTAGGTATTTTCGGGCTATATGGCCATGGTCTAGAGGCATTCTCTCCTGACGTTTCGCCTGCATCTATGGCAAGCATCCTCAGAGGTAGTGAGGTCTGTTGGAACTAGGAAAAGGGTTTATATATCTGTGGAATGACCAGGGTGAGACAAAGGACTCTTCTCTGTTAGAGCTAGGTGTGAATGTTTCAATTGACCACCTTGATTAGCATACAATGGCCTGACTGCGCCTGGGGCAAACTTCTGTGTTCTCAAATAATATGCTGTGTCCAGGTTGGTTCATCAGGTGCTCTGCTATGGCTGATTTCTCTGGTTCTCAGGTGCTCTACCATGCAGCTGTGGACAAGTCTACATAGGGACCACTAAACGCAGCAGCGCCCAAACACGAATCAAGGAACATGAAAGGCACTGCAGACTACTTCAACCAGAGAAATCAGCCATAGCAGAGCACCTGATGAACCAACCTGGACACAGCATATTATTTGAGAACACAGAAATGCTGGACCACTCTAACAACCACCATGTCAGACTACACAGAAAAGCCATTGAAATCCACAAGCATGTGAACAATATCAACAGAAAGGAGGAAACCATGAAAATGAACAAAATCTGGCTACCAGTATTAAAAAACTCTAAAATTGCAACAGCACAACAACAGAGAGGAAACAGGCAGGGACATCTAATCACCTTTCAAGAAGAGTTTGCCCCAGACGCAGTCAGGCCATTGTATGCTAATCAAGGTGGTCAGTTGAAACATTCACACCTAGCTCTAACAGAGAAGAGTCCTTTGTCTCACCCTGGTCATTCCACAGATATATAAACCCTTTTGCCTAGCTCCAGCAGGCCTCACTACCTCTGAGGATGCTTGCCAAAGTGCAGGCGAAACGTCAGGAGAGAATGCCTCTAGACCATGGCCATACAGCCCGAAAAAACCTACAACAACCCAAAGATGAAGTACTTTGGGCCACATGAATGAGCAAGTTACATGAATCTTCTGATAACAGAAGGAGAAATGATGCCCTGGCGGTAAAAAATTGAAAGGAACACACAAGGAAAGAGGACCGACCAAAGGTCAAAACCCAAAGATGAAGTACTTTGGCCACATGATGAGAAGTCAGGAATGCTTGGAGAAGAGAATGATGCTGGGGAAAATTGAAGGAAAAAGGAAGAGGGGCCAACCAAGGGCAAGGTGAATAGAATATTCTGCTTGAAGTGATTGTTTTGACCTTGAAGGAGCTGGGTGTGGCCACGGGCCGACAGGGAGCTCTGGCCTGGGCTGTTCCATGAGGTCAAGAAGAGTCGGAAGTGACTGAATGAATCAACAACAAATATAAGCAACAAAGCTTTGCGCATCATTTTACCCTTCTGACTAAAAATGTTATGGATAATCTATAAAGTTTGTAGTGAGTTTGTATTATTCCAGGTTTTTTTCTGAGTGTTTTCTTTAAAAAAAACATTATTTGCTAAGCTTAGGGTGTAGAAGCACCTTAAGTACTTTCCCATCTTGAGTGATTTCAGGAGGGCACTTTGTTAGTGCTTCCTACATTCATGGTTATATTGATAGCACTTAGCAAAGTATATATATGTGCTTCATCGGTCTGAACTGAATCTCATTTAACACAAGTCGATCTGCTTCTTCTAGAATAATGTCAAGCAGGATGTTAAGGTTTTCTCTCTGAAGTTATTCCAACACTCAACATTTCCCCACTTTTGCATAGTACAGACTTGTCCTTTCTTCTTTGGGAAAAAAATCACAATGCGTCTGTGAATTTCCAAAATGTGATAATATAAAATTGCCAGCCCTTCCTCACATCCTTTGTGATTGTTTAGGAGATTCCAGGATTGTTGTATCCAGTGACAGCTTTGAAGAATATTTCATTCCCTCCTTTGTAGAATTACTGGATGTCTCTTGCCCCAGAATCAGATGCCAAATTCACCCCTCACCTTCCTGAGGCAAAAGAAATCCACACTCACCTCAAAGCCTGCTAACATAATACATGCAGCCATCCCGCTGCAGAAACACTTCTTCAAGTCTTTTGTCCATCACAGGAAGAACCAAAGGTTACTCCAGAGCTTCCAGGAAACTCCAGAGTGGTCCCTAGTCTTCTTGACCAGTGTCTACATGTCAAAAACACCCACTACTGTTTCACCAGCCATAAGTACTCCCTGGCAGAGCCTTGCAAGCAACACCACTTATGGTGGTCTCATGGCTGAGCCCCTGTAACAGGATTACTCTGACAAAGGGAAGTGCCCGGCAGCAATGGACACAAAGGGAAGGTAGTAGTGGAGAACAAGGGAAAAGAAAGAGCTAATGGTCAGCCACATGTGTTATTATTTAATTATTTATTTATTTACACCATTTATATACCGCTTTTCTCAGCCCTCGGGCGACTCAAAGCGGTTTACAGTAGCAAAATTCAATGCTTCAACATCATAAAACAGATTAAAACAATTAAAAACCATAGCATCAATATACAAACATTACAAAGTCAATACTACATAACTCATGGCCTCTCTTAGTTAAAATCAAGATTCAATCTCGTCATCTAGTCGTTTCATGTTCCAGTATTTGTTACACTGCCTTATCGAATGCCTGCTCGAATAACCAGGCCTTAACATTCCTACGAAATGCTAACAGAGAAGGGGCCGATCTAATATCTCTGGGAAGGGCATTCCATAGCCAAGGGGCCACCACTGAGAAGGCCCTGTTTCTCATCCCCACCAACCGTATTTGTGACACAGGCGGGATCGAAAGCAGGGCCTCCCCAGATGATCTTAACATCCTAGCTGGTTCACACATGTGTTAAAGAGAGGGTGGGGCTGAGGAATGGAGATTGAAAAGGCAAAAAGCCAAACACAGCTGGGTGAGAGACATGAGCCAGGAGCAGGACAGGGAGGGCCTGATGAGAATGAGACTTCTGTTAAAACAGAGGAAAGGAGTTGGCTGAAGGGATGCAGACTGTGCTGTCATAAGACTTACCTTGGAAAAAAGATAGTTAACAAAGGAACTCTGTGAGTAACGAACTGCTTCCAGCAAGTCTTAGAAGCCAGAGAATTGATTACCCATGAGTACAATCTAGTGTTCCCATACATTATTGTTGCATTTTACCATATTTACTTGATTCTAATGCGCACCCTGTTTGGCTAAATTACATAACCAAAATTGAGATATGCATTAGAGTCGATGACACACATAAATCCACTTGTGCTCCATCCAGCCGAAACTGGCAAACTCTCCAAACTCATGTAGTTTCCAACTGGCCTCATTCACAAGGCCTTCAAAACCATGGGAAAGGCCAGTTGGAAATCTGCATCCCTCCATCAGGCTGAGGCTTCCCCTTGCCAGTTGGCCATTTTGAGGCAGGCAGCAACCTTGCCTTTATTACTGGGTTTGTATTCAGGGAGGCAGTCAGAGGAACAGCCAACAGGCAAGGAGAAACTGCACCCCTTCTCCAGCTTCATGCTTTTCCCAACTTGGGTACATTACATTTGACAACAAATCCTTTTTTCCCCTAATATTCGTCTTCAAAACTGAGGTGCACATTACATTCTATGGTGAATTATACTTGAATAAATACGGTATGTTTCAAGAACTGAAGAGGGAGAAATTATCTGCCTGCTTTTGTGATGTGGATGTTTTTAGGAGAAGCTTGTTCTCCCAATAAAGTATCCACTCCACAGGAGTCTGTCCCTTCATGAAACATGCAAGTGGGGTTTTCGAAAGTTGACTCCAGAAGGAAGATGGCCAAACTGCTGCAGCCTCTCTTTGTGATCTCACTAGAAGCAACATCATCAGCAGAGCTCTGTTTTGGGAATTGCTTCTGGCTTATGAAACAACAGCCATGGCCTCCAATTCACTAACAGTCAGCCTAGCATCTCGACTGCAAAACAGTTGCAAGGCACTTCTGCGGTGTATCCAGGGCAGCTCAGGAGAAGACTACTCCAAACAACACCTGGTTATTTCACCTAGTGTAGATGCAGCCTCAGTCAGGACAATATGTCATAGCATATGGCCAATCTGTGTTCACAAACCCTTGTATATTCTTTTCTTCCAGTGGGTTTGGAATGAAATAATTTCCATGAAGAACTATTTTATCACTATTGCATGTCATTAAAAAAAACAAATAAACTCGTATGAAGTAGACATCGCATGAAGAAAAATGTATTTAGGAAATATATTTAAAATAACTCAAAATAAATGTAAATGTAAACCCCAGCCAGCAAAATACTGCAAATGGAAGAGAAATGTTGCTTACCTTGACATTTTTCTCCTTCTCTTTCAGTAACTCTTCCATCCTACTTGCTTTTTCTTCTGAACTCAGTGCTTTGTTTGTCACAAATTTCAGTTTATTCGTAAGACTATTGTTCTGTTCCCTAATCACATTGAATCTAAAGAGGCATTTATAGGTGAAAGAAAGAAAACAAGTTGCATTGATTTTCAAAAGTTGTGCAGAAGGAAGCGAGAATTGGAGACAATAATCCAAACTCACAAATCAATCTAAATTGCATATAGAAAATGGTGGTTAGAATCCAGTTATAATATAGTTACCCTGCAGAAGCAGTTTGACCTTTTTTGTCATGCAGTAAACTGCCTTGAGTTGCTGTAAGGCTAAGAAAGGCGGGCTACAAATGCTGTAAATAAATAAATTTACCCAATTCAGGGTTGCAGAAGGGGATGTGATGTGATGGCACAAAGTTGCACACTGCAAATGCATTAATGTGCACTTACTTTACCCATGGATGCACATGGATGTATGTATGCACTGCATATGGAAGTGCACAATGCGTGGTACACATCCCACATTCTTCCTGGATGGTGCAATGCTGTAATTCACTAATGAAATGATGATCCATCAGCAAAGTTTCACTCCTTAAGGCAGGATCCTAGTAGACACTGAGTCTTTACAACTACCTTACTTATTATCTAGTAAGCAAATCAAATGCCAGCCCTTTATTCATTTTTATAATGAAAAGATAATAAATCATGCAATTTTATTTTATTTACAATGTGCCATCTTGTCATGTGATTAGTTGAGCAGATATATGATACTCTCGCCATAAAGCAACTGAGAGCCAAATCTCGGGCACTTCAACTGCAGAGATGTGAGGGTGTATCACATAAAAAGGATCTACTGACTGAATAGAGAGAACTAAATAATAAATGCTATGTATATATTTATTGCAGCATTGCTATTATAGTATAGCAGCATCTAATCATAGGTTATCACTAACAACTGAGGACAATTGCCTTCCAAGTGTAGAGTCTTGGCAGAGGATCCATAGGTGACTGTAAAGATCTATTCTGGATCTGCATTTTCTGACAAGTTTTTCCCTTAATAGTAGTAATAATAATAACTTTATTTTTATATCCCACCACCATCTCCCCGAGGGGACTTGGGGCAGCTCACAAGCAGGACCAAGCCCAATAATAACAGAGTTAACCACATAGAAACGCATTTTAAAATGCCGATAAACATATATCAAGCTTCACTCTACTGTGTATTCCTACCTTATTGTTTTCTCCTGTGCTTCCTTTTTAAGATTAGTTATATTCATTCTCACGAATTCAAGTTCAGAAGCAGTTCCATCCAAAGTAGCTTTCAGTGTATCCAACTAATGGATAGTCAAATAAAATTTGAGGAAAGATGCATAATTATTCAGAACACTGTTGTCATTTTATAACAGACATGTTTTAGGCTTCTCAGCAACTACCACAAATTCCTAATCCTACTTGTAACCTAGATTTTAAAATATTTCTAATAACCAGCCATTGTTGACATTATTAGAGCGGGCAGGAAAGCATTACCTTCCCTCTGCTCCCCCTACAGTGTCACAGAAGGAAATTTGATGTTACCGCAATTTTTGCAGCACTATGTTGTCCCTAATTACAATTCCCTTTGATATACACCATATGGTGGCAACTATATTGAGTAGCACAGTACTCAAGGGACACAGAAGAAGGAACTAGTATATTTCCTGAAACCCCAGAAGATGGGGAAATTGAGATCTTTTTTTAAAATTTATTTTCCAGGAGTTCTTTCAACCCATTCAAGTTTTAACTAGAATAAAATAACCATGCCATCTCTAGGCAAGCATATGGGGAAGATCCTGATCATGGGCTTTTCTGTGGAATTAAGGGGTCTTATTTACAGTACCTTCGGCCGACCACTGGAGTGTGTCATTTGGATTTCTAACTTTGGCAAAAACATAAACAGTGGCAGATCTGTATCATGAAAATGGAAGTACAGTGAATACAACACTTTCATCCCGGTTGATGGAGCTTCATGTAAACAGATACATCCACCTTAACTTTTTTTTTTCTAGCCAGAGGTTCTGGAAAATAGGATTGCTATTCTACCTTGAATGGGATTTTAATTGTTTATAACACATGCCCATGTTTTTAAATATACTGTTAAGCTACTTTCTGGAAGCAGGCCTTGAAAGGTGAGATTATATATATATATATCTTACTTTTTGAGGTACGGAACAACAGCATATGAAATAAGGAAAAATACATAACCCATTAAAAATACATAACCCATAAAAATACATAACCCATTAATCAGTTTAAAAATTATAGAAACCCAATACATATTAAAACAGCCAATACATATTTTAAAATATCAGTTTGAAAATATAGATATTGAATACATGTTTAAACCGCCAGTACATAATTTAAAAATCATCTGGATAGACCTGCTGGAAGAGACACTTTTTCTACAAACTAAGACAAAATAAATTTTGTACTCAGCTTCTTTGTGAAACTTGGTGGGAGATAAATTATGCCACATTATCACTTCTTAAGATTTCAATATATTGCTGTTATATAGGCACAAGTATTTTTTTTCTCAAGAAAAACCTAAACTGATAGTTCATAATACCGTTTATGACCATTAGCATATGGTAAAATTACCTCGTCCTGGAACTGAATGCGATTGTTTTCCTCTTTTTGGTAGTCCAGTCTTAGTTTGGTAGCAAATCGCTCCGTTATGGCAATTCTCTTCTCGTACTCCACATTATTGCCACTCTCATTTGCCAAAAACTGGATCTTGTCTTTAAGTACACTTTGCTTGGCACGGATTGCCCGTCTAGACCGTGCTAAAAGCTATTCAGAGAAAAATGGACAAGTGATGATAAAATTATAACCTGGCAAACTAGCAACCGCAAGAATGATAGTTAAAATTGTTTCAGCAGTGACATGTGTTCTTATCTTTTTCAACAGTTCATCAGAGTGCATTATAGAATAAGGTGAATTTTATATCCCCCCCCCAAAAAAAAACAACCCCACAACAGGAAGTTAATTAAAAACCAATAGAATAGTGTGGTGTGGTGGTTTGAACATTATAATAAATAATAATGAAACTTTATTTCTATCCTGCCCTATCTCCCGGAAGGGACTCAAAGCAATTTACAACAAAAGTTGGCAAACATTCAAGGGCTGGGCTCTAGCACAGCTAGTTAATCACTAGTAAATAAATCACTGCTGACCGGAAGGTGGCAAGTTTGAAGCCTGAGTTGGGTTTGAGCTCCTGACTGTTAATAGCCCAGCTTACTGTTCACCTAAGTAGTTCAAAAACAGCTGAGCTGTGAATAGAGAAATTAGGGTATTCTTAATTTATGACACTGTAAAAAATGCCAGAGATCAAAGAGGAAGGAGGAAATACTATGATCAAAGACTCAGCATCATAGTGGATGAAGCGACAGCTCCCCCCTGGCAGGAATCGAGCAACCTCCAGGAGCCAAAGTTGGAAAACATGCTGAATTACCTCTATCTGTCTGTATGTCTAAAAAACGGCATAGAGTGTTTGCCATGTATGTGTGCATTATGATCTGCCCTGAGAAGGGTGGAATAAAAATACTGTAAATAAATAAACAAAACATGACATCAAATCATGGACAAACAAACAAACAACAGGTTATACTTATAAAACAACTCAAAATAACAAGTTAAATCTGAAATATATATAAAAAGTAAATGGAACACATTTCTCTAATGAATATAATAATAAACAATTAAAACAATTAAAACATATAATGCTATATACGGCAGGCCACCCAGGCTGAAGTTTGTCTCCAGTAGCTAAATCATGAGGAGATTTAGCTACTTTGGCCACATCATGAGGAGACAGCAAAGCCTAGAGAAGACAATTATGCTGGGGAAAGTGGAAGGCAAAAGGAAGAGGGGCCGACCAAGGACAAGATGGATGGATGGCATCCTTGAAGTGACTGGACTGACCTTGAAGGAGCTGGGGGTGGTGACGGCCGACAGGGAGCTCTGGCGTGGACTGGTCCATGAGGTCACGAAGAGTCGGAGACGACTGAACGAATGAACAACAACAGCTAAATCAAGGTTTAATAAAATGCTAATACTCCTCCCCATATGCTTGAGTACATAGGTGAGTTTTTAACAGCTTCTTAAAAGAAAGGAGGGAAGAGGCAGTTTTCAACTCATTGAATTACAATTCAAGATTCAAAGTTCAAATCCTAGCTCAGCCATGGAAACTGGGTCATCTTAGGCAAGTCACATTCTCTCAGCCTCAGGGGAGGGCAAACCCCTTCTGAACAAATCTTACCCCCCAAAAAACCCTGTGATAGGCTCACTTTTGGCCACTATGAGTTGGAAACCTCTTGATGGCACGTGACATCAAAACAAATGGCATAAAAGAGAAAAATATGTACAGCCATTACTTCCTTAGTACAGGCAGTCCCCAAGTTATGAACAGGTTTGTTCTTAAGTTGACTTTGTATGCAAGTCAGAACAGGTACATCTCCTAAGTGTAGCTCCAGCCACACACACACATACCTGTGTGTGAGAGAGAGAGAGACTGGTGTTACACACACACACACACACACACACATGCGTTTTGGATAGCCCTGTGGTGTTTGTTTTGCTATCTGTGCCCCTGTCCAGGTAATTTCATCTCACTTGTGACAATTGGATTTGCGTGCTATGAAAACAAGGATTGGTGATAAAGCTTTGGTTGAGACACCTTCTCCCCATGATAACTCTTTCAGGAGTGGATTTCCCTTCCTACAGGTAGATTTCTCTCACTTCCTGTGGTCCCACTCCTGTTCTTAACCATGATAATAGTAATAATAATAATAATAATAATAATAATAATAATAATAATAATAATCAACCTCCCAATCTCTGAGGATGCTTGCCATAGATGCAGGCGAAACGTCAGGAGAGAATGCCTCTAGAACATGGCCATATAGCCCAAAAAACCTTTAACAACCCAATAATAACAACAACTTTATCTTTATACCCCACCTCCATCTCCCCGAGGTGTGCTCGGGGCAGCTTACATGGAACCAAGTTCAATCACCAGAGTTAAAACATAACACATTAAAAAGCATAACATCAATAAGAACAACATAAAAAAACATTATAACAATATATAAAACAAGCATCAAAACCATGAGTCGTTTGTAAGCCTGATGTTTGTAACTGGAAGATGAAATCCAAACTGCTTTCCATATATTAACAACGGAAAATATACAAAAAATGGTTTACCAAGGCACAGCTCTCCATTTCTTCATCCCGCTTCTTCATTTGGTGTATGGTGTTTTCCCACTGTTTGATCAGTTCTTGTCTTTCTTGGTGAACCCTGCGGAAATCTTCAGCTGTCTTATCCAGCTCGATCTGTAGAGAAGCATGGCAATGGTTGGCACTCTTTTCCAGTTCTAAGAAGCACTTGAGGCTTTACTGCCAAATTAATGATTACTCTGTGGACATACCTGAGAGGCTAAAGTCTCTGTAAGCTCGTTGTCAAGAATTCTGCGCTTTTTATTACACTGCACAGTCAACATTTCTATCTGGAGAGTCAACACCTGAAATGAAAGGATAATGAAGCTTAATGTGTTAATAAAATACAATATGAAATTACTAAGTGTCGTTTTCAAAAATGGATGGATTTTAAGGGTGAGAAAGTACAGCTTTGAGAGAAGAGTGTAAGAAGACATTAGTTTAAAATTCCATGTCATGTTCTGCTTCATTCCGGCATCGTTTGTGTAAAGCAAGAATTAAAGATTCAACTGTATGCTGATCTGGTTCGTGAGACTGATAAACTTTTGACAATAGCTGATGTTTTCCCACACCTTCTATTGGTTGTTGAGAACTATTATCTCTAATTCTGGGCACCATAGTTGAAGGGAGATGTTGACAAGCTGGAATGTGTCCAGAGGAGGGCAACTAAAATGATCAAGGGTCTGGAGAACAAGCCCTATGAGGAGTGGCTTAAAGAGCTGGGCATGTTTATCCTGCAGAAGAGAAAGTTGAGAGGAGACATGATGGGCATGTATAAATGTGTGAAGGGAAGTCATAGGGAGGAGGGAGCAAACTTGTTTTCTGCTGCCCTGGAGACTAGGATGCAGAACAATGGCTTCAAACTACAGGAAAGGAGATTCCATCTGAACATTAGGAAGAACTTCCTTACTGTGAGAGCCATTCAGCAGTGGAACTATCTACCCTGGAGTGTGGTGGAGGGTCTTTCTTTGGAGGCTTTTAAACAGAGGCTGGATGGCCATCTGTTGGGGGTGGTTTGAATGCAATTTTCCTGCTTCTTGACAGAATGGGGTTGGACTAGATGGCCCATGAGGTCTCTTCCAACTCTATGATTCTATGTTTCTATCAGTTGTGTTAGACTAGAAATGCTGTAATGCAATATTATGTGTCCAGGCTCAACTACCAGAAGTTATGGTTACAAACAGGGTTAGATCTTGAGACCATGTTCTTAAACAAGACACAAATTCTGGAGAAATTCTGTGCAGTTTACATAGACTTCAGATAAAAATTACCATGTACACATTAGATACTGCACATGTGGACTTTGTGTTTGTCTATGTAACTCTAAAGGGGGGCCCTGGTGGCTGTGCTGCTGAACTTGCTGATCGAAAGGTTGGCAGTTCAAATCTGGGGAGCGGGGTGAGCTCTAGCTGTTGGTCCCTGCTTCTGCCAACCTAGCAGCTCAAAAACATGCAGATGTGAGTAGATCAATAGGTACTGCTTCTGTGGGAAGGTAACGGCACTCCTGCAGTCATGCTAGCCACATGACCTTAGAGGTGTCTATGGACAATGCCTACTCTTCGGCTTAGAAATGAAGATGTGAGAACACCCCCACCCCAAAGTCGGACATAACTAGATTTAATGTCAAGGGGAAACCTTTATCTTTACTATGTAACCCTAAAGTTCTATGAAATAATGGTGCTTGGAATAAATTTTATCTGTCTTGGCCAGTGCTGTGAGTAGGTTGGACTGAGGACAAAGCTGGGTCTTAGTAGATCCTTCAGCCAAAGTTATTGTCTAGCTCAGCCATGGAAACCCATGCTCGGTTTCAGGGCTTTAGTTTCACTTGGGAAACAGAATACGGCTGATATTTCAGTCCTACCTAACTGCAGAACTATTGGGGATGGGGGTGTCAAATATCCACATCGATTTAACCATTTACCTGATGTTAATTGTTCGCCTTTGACTTTGTTATTAATTTGCCACAAAGCTGGCTTCAACCGTATTAATGAGAGATCTCCCTGCTGAAGGCTTCTAGACTTAGAGCTGGGGCTTCCCTGACTGAGTCTATCCACTTCTACTATGATCTTCCTCTTTTCCTGCTGCCTCCCACTTTACCAAGAATTATTGACTTTTCTAATTAGTTATGTCCTCTCATGGTGCATGCAAAGTGCAACAGTATCTTGGCTTCTAGGGCTTAATTATTTCTCTTTTTGGTAGTCCATGGTATCAGTACAAATCTCATTCAGCACCACATTTCAAATGAGTTGATCCTCTTCCTGTCAGTTTTCTTCGCTGTCCAGCTTTCACTGTCATCCATTTGGCTTTTGTACACAACCAAAAAAAGTTCAAGCATGGCAAAGAAAACGTTTCACTACATTTCACGTAAAATGCATTAACCAGCCAAATGCTAAATTCCATTTTTAAAACTCCTTTTAAATGAACTGTGACTAAAGCATTAAAAAATCTAACAGGATACAGTAAAGAAGGTGAGATGACAAGCTTCCTAGTATCTATGTCAACAAGGTTTCAGACAACATCTTTCCTTTGTCCTCAGTGACTGTTCTGTCGCTGCTGGGCTTGAAATGAAGAGCCTTTAAAACAGGACGTGCACCTTTTGGCCCAACAGGGGGCCCGAAGAGAAATTCTGAAGGATTTTCACCATAAACAGGCTTTAGAAGGCTTGTAAAATAACAAAGTTTTTATTGGTGAACAATCAACAGAAACTCCTTTTGTCTTCAAAGGGTTAAACAAATACTTTCAGGCTTCAAACAACTGGTGGCTTCTAACTGATTCTTTGCTTTACTTTAAAGGAAAACCCCTTTCTAAATTTCTCCCAGGCTAACTATGAACTTAAACCTTATTGATGTGGGTTCACTACCGGGCTGAACTGCATTTCAACGCCGAGCAAACCTATCAAAAGGCTTGTAATCACTTTGCTGGAATCCTTGATGCTTAAAGCTGTTATTCCCTCCGGAATTCTTCTGGGCTGTAAAGCTATTTCCCTGGAACCTTCGAGAATCTTTAGATTACCTTAAGACTGGTTCTCCCCCGGGGGGTCTTAAGGGTCGAGGCCTTTTTACAGGAGGAAATCTGTACACATCCTCTACATTGACTTCTCTGTAGAAAACTAACTGAAATGGTTCTTCCCTCTTCCCAAAACCCAGAAAAAGGGGCGGAACCAAAGCTAAATGAAGATGGACAGGGGGCTTGCCCTATGACTGCAAACTATAACAGGAAGCCACCCTGTTGCAAAATCTCAAGCCTGAGATTGCAAACAAACCTTTAGTTCCAAGCAAATAAAATTGGAGCTCCTGGAACAGCTGTTCCAGAACAGTGACCACTGCTAAAATTGAACTTGTCACCTCATCATCAAATCCATAAGTTTTTTTTTACTTCTATGGGTATTCACACACAAATATTGTTTTTTTTCCCTTATAAAGGAAAATGGTATATGGACCTGTTAGCTTTTCCTTGTGCAGATGAGAAAGCTGGGGAAAACCTGGACTGGGAATGTGGCCTACAAGAATGGGATTAAGCACCCCCATGTTACTCTGACCAAATGCAGAATTATCTATGACTTCATAAAGTAAAACCAAAAATCATAAGGAAACATCCATATCTCTCCTAAGTCATGTTTAGTTTGGTACTACACCTACCCCTGATACACACCCACACCCACACACACACACACATATATACACAGATACAGAGAAAGAGCTATAAGTATCATGGATTTTCTAAAATACACACACACATTTAAAAAATAGATATACATACTCCTAATTTGCCATCGTCTTGCTGTGCATACTTCTGGATTGTAAGTAGATCGTTGTCTCTCTTAGATGATTCTTCAAGCCAAGTTTCCAAAGAGTGTTGGTCACAGTTCATTTGGCATCTTAAGGCATCCATCTTCTCAGTCACTTTGAAGACATTATTCTAATAAAGTTGAATAAAGAAAGACAAAGATCACATTCATGAGGACAAGAACCTTGTTCACTGTCAATAATTACACTATTATTCATCCAAAGGTAATGTCCAGCAAACATCTTCACTTCCAAAACTCTAGCATCAATCTGACACATCTTTCAGGCCTCCTTTTTTCATCTGAAGCAATTCTACAAGCAGCATTCAAATTGCATTTTAACCTAAGGATATTATTATAACCAAAGGATAACCTAGGGCAACCCATAAGTTAGATATAGCCCCTTAGAGAATCATACATTCAGAAGACTCCAGAAGGAGAATTATCCTTTAAAACAAGATGTGTCCACATTTTAAAGAAAAAGAATAATGATTTTGAAGAAGAGATTGATGCAGTCCACAGAGTGTGGAGTTATGGCAGAGCTTCACACTCTGAAATGACCTGAAATTACCAACCCCTGGCTTAATAAGTCAACACATGGATAGGCAGCATGTCTATGCACTTCCTGATTGTGCAAGTAGGAAAATAAACTATGAAAGAGATTGGTGATATTAACCCCCAGGATTATAGCTTATTGCATCTGAACAAGACAAGGTTTGCAAAAAAAAACACCAACAACAACAACACTTGGTTTGAAGCATGGCAGGAGGTTGGCCTAGATGGCCCATGAGGTCTCTTCCAACTCTTATTCTATGATTCTATGAAGCTGGCCTTGCTTCCCCGTTTACATGAAGGGAAGAGCAGCTGTACATAACCCATCCACACTCTGCTTTATTAAGTCATAAATAATGGCCAAGTGCCAAGTGTGAAGTGTAAATATATATAGTGAGACTTCATATAAAGCAATAGCAAAATAAAAAATAAGAAAAAACAGCTAGTGTTGATAACAAACAAGTGCTGGCCAGTCCAGAGAGAGCTCCTGGTGCACGAAAATGACACATCAAGAGGTGGGGGAGAGGTAGGAGGGATTTCTCCCCCCCCCCCCCCACATACACACCTCCTGACATGTCATTTTCAAGCATCAAGAGTACTCTACGGAGGGGCATGAGCAGCCGGAAGGCTCCTTGGATATGTTTGGGGAGGGGGGTTGTAAGGGAAGAGGAGGTACCATCTCTCTCCTTCGAGCTCTTAGAGCTATAGATCTGGGATTGATGTGGGGATTGAAAGCAACCCTCAGATTCAATCCCCACAGGGCGCTTACCTGGAAAGATTCAGACCTTAGCTCAAGGTCCAGATCTTTCCAGGTGTCAAATTAATCCAGAGCAAACTAGGAAATCCCAGATTTCTCCGGATTAATTCAGTTTTATGTGATACATCATTTGGTAAAACTGAAACAGATTCCGCATTTTGGGCCGGTCTGGAAGGGCCCTAAGGTTCCACTGCCGTTTAATATATTATATGGCTTGTTGTTGTTCATTCGTTCAGTCGTTTCCAACTCTTCGTGACCTCATGGACCAGCCCACGCCAGAGCTCCCTGTCAGCCGTCACCACCCCCAGCTCCTTCAAGGTCAATCCAGTCACTTCAAGGATACCATCCATCTATCTTGCCCTTGGTCGGCCCCTCTTCCTTTTTCCTTCCATTTTCCCCAGCATCACTGCCTTCTCCAAGCGTTCCTGTCTTCTCATTATGTGGCCAAAGTACTTCATCTTTGCCTCTACTATCCTCCCCTCCAATGAGCAGTCAGGCTTTATTTCCTGAAGTATGGAATGGTTGGATCTTCTGAACCAGAAGATCCAACATTTTATGGCAGTGTAGACTTATATAATGCAGATCAACTGCATTATGAAACTGAATATATGGCAGGGAAGATGAAGCCTCAGAAAGATAAACAAAATCAGCAACATTCCCTATATTCTGACTGTATCTATGTGTTTGTCTTGCCAGATTTAGTCTAGTCTTCACAGGGCAGCGAAATGTATTCTATGCATGGCTCCATATTGCAGATGCCATGATCTATCATTGTCAGAAAAACAGTGTGTGTGGAAAAATGGAGAAAAACTTCCCTTCCCCACATTTACTTTACTCTAGTCTGATGCTTCAACTATGGTCATTTACTCCCTGCCCAGCTGCATGGCTAATTAAATAAATAAATACAAATCCAGAGCAATCCCATAGCAAACATTACAGATAAATCATCAATATGGTATACCAATTATAGGCACAATACCCCCATGTTTCTACAAATCCATGCCACACACAAAATATCAGATGATGTCCAAATTAGAGAGCTTTCTGGGGATTTATTCAGCCCCATGATTCCATTTCAAAATACACAGGAAACAAAAGGCTGCCTGTAAAATGCTCATTTTTATGACTGCTAATAGCAATTTGGCACTAAGGATAGCTGGCAAAATTTCAGTGTAGAGTCAGCATTAATTGCTACTTCAAATCTGAAAAGGGGCACATTTATGCCAGACAGAGAAAGAGAAGAGAAAGGTAACCAAGAGACTGCACAACACCACCGTTCTACTAATTGCTGACCCTCTGCAAAAAAGGAATATGGGGCAGCATAATGTCCTTCAACTGGAGCTACAAAAAAGTACTAAAAGGCAGGAAAATGAGAAAGGGGAAAAGCTTTACTTCTTTTCATTATTTACTTCTTCCATTAATCACCTTTTTTTCTTTAATTGATCTATAGTTTCCAATGCCATTGTAACTCATTAGTAGGGAAAGGAAAAGAAGGAAGAATGGAAAAGAAGTGATATTCCTGGCCCAGCTTACCTGTCCGAACGTATCTCCCTCTATGACCCACCTCGGAAGTTAAGATCATCTGGGGAGGCCCTGCTCTTGATCCCACCACCTTCGCAAGCATGATTGGTGGAGAGGAGAGCGAGGGCCTTCTCAGCGGTGGCCTCTTGTCTATGGAACTCCCTCCCCAATAAAATCAGGTCCACTCCCTCCTGTCTTTCAGGAAGAAGCTTAAGATGTGGTTGTGAGACCAAGCATTCAACCAGTAAAATTACAACAGCACAACAACAGAGAGGAAACAAACAAGGACATCTAATCACCTCTCAACAAAAGTTTGCCCTAGGCACTGTCAGGCCATTATATGCTAATCAAGGTGGTCAGTTGAAACATTCACACCTAGCTCCAGCAGACAAGAGTCCTTTGTCCCACCCTGGTCATTCCACAGATATATAAACCCATTTTCCTACTTCCAACAGACCTCACTACCTCTGAGGATGCTTGCCATAGATGCAGGCGAAACGTCAGGAAGAAAATTGTCTCCAGAACATGGCCATATAGCCCGGAAAAACCTACAACAACCCAGATTCCGGCCATGAAAGCCTTCGAACAATACTTGCACAAACCTTGGACTATGATCTGGATTACATGATTTTAATTGATGTTTTAATAATTAATGTTTAATTGTATGGTTTTAATTGTATTTGTTTATTTTTATATTTATATGTATTGGCATCAAATCGCTGCATGTTGTAAGGCCACATGGAGTCCCCTTTAAGGGTGAGAAGGGCAGGATACAAATATGTGAAATATACAAATAAATAAACAAATATTTAAAGGCAAAGGAAATATGGAAACTATAATATAGAAAGAAAGCTTAACCAGAAAACTGAACCAACCAACGTATGGACAGGGGCGGCTCAACCCATTACGCAAAGTAAGCATTTGCAGTATAGATAATTTTGCCCAGGGGCGCTCTTGAGGCGCTCTTGGGGGAAAATAGACCTTGACATATGCGAGTTGTAGTTACTGGGATGTATAGTTCACCTACAATCAAAGAGCATTCTGAACTCCACCAGTGATGGAATTGAACCAAATATGGCACACAGAACTCCCACGACGAACAGAAAATATATATCAGTGATTGGTTGGGGGGGGGGGCCAAAATACTGTTTGCTTACCGTTGAAAATTACCTAGGGCGGCCTCTGCGTATGGAGAAATATGTTAAAACATGGGAGAGACCTGAATTCTCTCTAAATAGCAAGGCAGGATATAAAAAGTGAGGAAGAGAAAAAAGAGGATGCCTACTCTGCATCTCACAACCCTGCCATCAATCTTCTAATTATTCTGGCCAAAAAATAAAACCAGACACATGACCATGACATTTTGTAGTTGTAACTGGATTCTGATAGATGACTCAATTTCCCCCCTGCGTTGTCTGATATCCATATTCAAACCAAGGCTGTGGAAACAGATTCATGCTTTTAGTGATGCTACATGTGATACCATCAATGCACATGTGGATGCATGTGCACAAATGATACAAACTGCACAATGTTTCCATCCTTCCAATTATTTTTTCCTCGTTTATCTTATTTTCTGTTTAAGTTGTAAGCCTGAATGGAGGAGTTACCTTACTACATAACTTACGAGCCAAACAGAAACCTTTTTTTGACTAAACAGTGGAATGTGCCCTAAGGGCTCCAGAACCTGTCTGATCTTGAAAGCTAAGTAGAGTCCACCTAGGTTGATACTTGGATGGGATACTGACAACGAACAGCTGGCTATATTTCATAGAAAGGAAATAGCAAATTCTACAGAGAAACTAAAAGAAGCTCCATTCAAGGAGCTCAATTAGCTGTCGTTCATTTTCCGATCCCAATTCAAGGTGCAGGTGCTCACCTACAAAGCCCTAAACGGTTTGGGACCTGCCTACCTGCATGACCGCATCTCCGTTTACGAACCCGCATGCTCCCTTCGATTATCTGGAGAGGCCCTGCTCTCGATCCCACCTGCATCGCAGGGGCGTTTGGTGGGGATGAGGGACAGGGCCTTCTCTGTGGTGGCCCCCCAACTCTGGAACTCTCTCCCCAAGGACATCAGACAAGCCACAATGTTGGCTGTCTTTAGGAAGAGCCTGAAGACCTGGCTGTTCCAGTGTGCCTTTCCAGAATAGGAAAGTCCTGGTTTTAAGCCCAATTGCACTTTGCTAGAGACTCAGGATTATCTGCACATTGCACCTACCTCCATATACCTCTACATATTACCTGTCAAGTTCAGCATTTTAATTTTTGTCCATTACATTTGGTTTTAATTATGTCACGGTGTCATTGTTTGAACTGTTTTATTGTTTTGTTGTATGTTTATTATTTGCTTTTGAGTTTATTGTGTATTGTATGTCATTGATTGTTGGCGGCCTTGGCCTTTGTAAGCCGCATTGAGTCCTATGGGAGATTTTGCGGGGTATAAATAAAGTTAATAATAATAATAATAATTCAGATTGGCATTTTCACATAACATTGCCTTCTGACATGAACACTTTAAATACCCACATCATTAAAATACAGTATAGAAAGAAGAAGAAAGTACTAATATCAAAAATGTTGCTGTATTATATCCTCTGAGGCTGCGACACTATGATTTGAAGGAACAGCAGTAGAGAAAGCATGTGCCTTTGGCATGATATAGTTGGGATACATGATGAAATACTTGAAACATACTTCTTGGCTATTTTTCTTCTCTCTTAATGAAACCGTCTCATTCTCCAGCCTTTGGATCTCACTTTTCAGGCGCCCCACTTCTCTCTCTGCCAGAGCTTTAAAATGCTGCTCGGTTTCAATTTCATTCTGCCTGGCTCTGAAAAGAGACTAAAAGAAAGGAAAGGGAATTAATTATTTTGCAGGGTTAATGAGCATTGATGCTTCACAAGCTCTTTGCAATGTTTAGCTTCTCTTTTAATTACAGAGATAAATGGACATTAATCTACAAAACAAACAAACAATCCAACTGATAAGCATTTGCACTACAAAGGTATAGATTTTATGTAACCGAAGATCAAGACTTCTCTCTCAGATCAGTTTTCTATTATTAGGTCTCCTTCTGACACCAACTTCCAGATGAGGCCTTTAATCTTTAAATTTTACTTTTCTGTTGCTCAGAGCAGAACAAGGGTGGGGTTAATTATATTCAGAAGGCATCACTGCGATTAAGACATTCTGAATTGTTATTTGATATTTATCTGCCTGTCTGTTAGACATGCACTCCTCCAGATAAAATAGTCTTTTTCTTATATGCTAGCCAGGCATGGGCAAACTTCAGCTCTCCAGGTGTTCTGGACTTCAACTCCCACAATTCCTAACAGCTTACCAGCTGTGCTAGACATTCAACTTTATTTGGAACTAGCATATTAAACAAATTACTAATCAGCCTTTTTGACACATGGAATTCCTTCAGTTTATTTTAAAAAATGAACAATCATATGAGCATCCAAACAAGGTAACGATGGGCTAACAGTGGGATCTCACCCTGCTCCCGGTATTCGAACCTGCGACCTTTTGATCAGCAAGTTCAGCAACTCAGCAGTTTAACCCACTGTGCCATTGTACTATAACACTATACTGTAATATTATTAGTAATATTACATGTAATATTAAAAACAATTCTAAAATTGTATTATTATTAGGAATTATATCTACTCATATTGGCATGTTTTCGAACTGCTAGGTTGGCAGAAGCTGGGGCTAACAGTGGGAGCTCACCCCACTCCTGGGATCAGAACCTGTGACCTTTCGATCAGCAAGTTCAGCAACTCAGCAGTTTAACCCACTATACTGTAATATTATTAGTAATATTACATGTAATATTAAAAATATAATTCTTAAATTGTATTATTATTAGGTATTATTATTAGGTATTATATCTACTCACATTTGAATGTTTTTGAACACTAGGCAGAAGCTGGGGCTAACAGTGGGAGCTCACCCCATTCCCGGGATTTGAACCTGTGACCTTTCGATCAGCAAGTTCAGCGGCTCAGCAGTTTAACCCACTGTGCCATATATATATATATATACTCACATTTGAATGTTTTAGAACTGCTAGGTTGGCAGAAGCTGGGGCTAACAGTGGGAGCTCGCCCCATTCCTGGAATTCGAACCTGTAACCTTTCGATCAGCAAGTTCAGCAGCTCAGCGGTTTAACCCACTGCGCCATATATATATCTATATATACACACTCACATTTGAATGTTTTAGAACTGCTAGGTTGGCAGAAGCTGGGGCTAACAGTGGGAGCTCAGCCCGCTCCCCGGATTCAAACCGGCGACCTTTCAATCAGCAAGTTCAGCAGCTCAGTGGTTTAACCCACTGCGCCATATATATATATATACTCACATTTGAATGTTTTAGAACTGCTAGGTTGGTAGAAGCTGGGGCTAACAGTGGGAGCTCACCCCGCTCCCCGGATTCGAACCTGCGACCTTTCGATCAGCAAGTTCAACAGCTCAGCGGTTTAACCCACTGTGCCATATATATATGGTAAATAATAATATAATATATTATTTATTATTATTATACCACATATATATGCTAAATAATATCTTTGGGTGCATGGCTAGTTGAATGCAGTGGATTTCGCTTCAGAATGAGGTCGGATGGTGTTGTGTTGCCCGGGTGAGCCTCTTTTCTCTTGCTCTCCACCCTTTACCTGTGTCAAATTAAACTCCTGTTTGACATTCTTCAAGTGGGAGGTCATGGCGGCAATGCGGTCTTCACAATCCGTCAATTGGTTTTGCATGTTTCCCTTCTCTTTCTCCATCTTTTGCACCTGCAAACAAAAATTGGGGAGACTTTTAACATGGTGACACAATGAAATAGTGGTGATACTCCATTCCTAGGCCAACTTGGGCCCTCCAGGGGGTTGGCACTCCCACTCCCACCATTCCTAACAGCCTGCCGGCTGTTAGGAATGGTGGGAGTTGGAGTGCCAACCCCCTGGAGGGAGGGCTTTGTGCCTCTCCCTTCCTCGCCTCTTCCTCCAGGGCTTTGTTCTCGGCGTTGGCCACCGGGATGGCGAAGCCGTTGTCCCATTGCAGCTCGGCCAGGACCGAGGCGGCCGAGGAGGCGCTGCTGACCGTGGTCGTGGTCGTGGCCGTGGTGGCGTGGCTGCCCCCGCCCTCCATGGCTGCCCTCCGACACCCCGGCCCTTTCCCTCCGGACCCAAAGCAGCAAAGGCGGCTGCAAGAGAAAGAGGAGAAGATGCGTCGCGAAGCCCTGGGATTGCCATGGCAACGGCTTCGGCAAACGAGGCGCGCGCCTCCTGCTGCCCCGGGTTACCTGCCTGCCTGCCTGCGCGCGCACAGCCTGTGCATGCACGCGTAGAAAAGACACACACAGATAAACACACACACACAATGTGTACTTACAGACATATAAATACAGGGTATATACGCACTGCTCACACATATAAATAGACATGCACAGCGTAAGCATACACACATAAATACAAACAGGATATACACATACACAAATACACAGGGTATACATGTTGTTGTTGTTCATTCGTTCAGTCGTCTCCGACTCTTCGTGACCTCATGGACCAGCCCACGCCAGAGCTCCCTGTCGGCCGTCACCACCCCCAGCTCCTTCAAGTTCAGTCCAGTCACTTCAAGGATGCCATCCATCCATCTTGCCCTTGGTCGGCCCCTCTTCCTTTTGCCTTCCACTTTCGCCAGCATAATTGTCTTCTCTAGGCTTTGCTGTCTCCTCATGATGTGGCCAAAGTACTTCAACTTTGTCTCTAGTATCCTTCCCTCCAATGAGCAGTCGGGCTTTATTTCCTGGAGGATGACTGGTTGGATCTTCTCGCAGTCCAAGGCACTCTCAGAACTTTCCTCCAACACCACAGCTCAAAAGCATCGATCTTCCTTCGCTCAGCCTTCCCTAAGGTCCAGCTCTCACATCCGTAGGTGACTCCAGGGAATACCATGGCTTTGACTAGGCGGATCTTTGTTGCCAGTCTGATGTCTCTACTCTTTACTATTTTATCGAGACTGGACATTGCTCTCCTCCCAAGAAGTAAGCGTCTTCTGATTTCCTGGTCACAGTCTGCATCTGCAGTATACATACAATGTGTACTTACAAGCATATAAATACAGGGTATACACACATACACAGTGCTCGCAAATGCGCGCGCACAGTCTCTACATGCACGCGTATTAAGACACACATAGAGATAAACACACACAGCATATACATACACACAATGTGTACTTACAGGCATATAAATACAGGGTATACACACATACACAGTGCTCGCAAATGCGCGCGCACAGTCTCTACATGCACACATATTAAGACACACACACACACAGATAAACACACACAGCATATACATACATACAATGTGTACTTACAAGCATATAAATACAGGGTATACACACATACACAGTGCTCGCAAATGCGCGCGCACAGTCTCTACATGCACGCGTATTAAGACACACATAGATAAACACACACAGCATATACATACACACAATGTGTACTTACACACATATAAATACAGGGTATATACACAGTGCTCACACATATAAATAGACATGCACAGCGTATACATACATACACACATAAATACAAACAGGATATACACATAATAATAATAATAATAATAATAATAATAATAATAATAATAATAATAATCTTTATTTGTACCCCACCACCATCTCCCCAAAGGGGACTCGGAGCAGCTTACATGGGGCCAAGCCCAAACAAGAATTACAATATAACTTGTAATTATATTACATCCACAAATACACAGGGTATACATAAAGGTAAAGGTAGTCCCCTGACATTAAGTCCAGTCATGTCTGACTCTGGGGTGTGGTGCTCATCTCCATTTCTAAGCCGAAGAGCCGGCGTTGTCCATAGACACCTCCAAGGTCATGTGGCCGGCATGACTGCATGGAGCACCGTTACATACACACATGTAAATACACAAACAGCATACAGTGTACACACCCATACACATAAATACACAGGGTACACACATATATGCACAACACATACATACACATATAAACACACACACTGTACACAGACAAATACACAGAGGGTATAAACTTACAGAAATACACAGGGTATACATACACATATAAATACACAGTATATACACACACAGCATATAAACACAGGGTACACACTCGCAAATACACAGTGTACACACATATATGCATAGCGTATACATACACATAAATACACACTGTACACAGACATAAATACACAAATACACAGGGTACACATACATATAAATACACGCACACCGTTAACACACACAGTGTACACATGCATAAATATACAGTGCACACATATAAATACACACTGTGTACATACACACATAAATACAGAAACACAGCATATACACACATATACATAAATACACATACACAGCATATACATGCACTCACAGTGTATACATACACACATTTATACACACAGTGTACACATACAGATAAATACACTGTGTATACATACACACATAAATGCACATATCATGTATATATGCATACACATAGTATACATAGATACATACACACAGTGTATGCACACACACAAATGCACAGCATATACACAGATAAATGCAGTGTATACATACACACATATGAATACACACAGCATATACACAAACACAAATACACAAACTCATACTATGCATAAACACACACATATCTATACCCACATACATACTGTATATAAACACACATATACATGCATGTAGGTATGCACACACCCATATATACACACATATATATTTATACCAACATATCTAATGTATATACATATATATACACACACAAACACACAACTATGTACACACCCATATAAACGCAAACATATCCACATTTATCTACACATATAGAAACTATATATAAATATATATGTACACACAAACACATACATATATATATATACATACACATGCACACACACATATTCACATGCACAAGCATATATATATCTGCACACACCTATACCATATGTGTGTGTATATTCAGTACATATATGTGCACACACATAAATGTGTACAAAGATATATATGTATGTGTATGTGTATACTGACAACACCTTAACATTGGACAAGTTTTATTAGGCCTCCAGAAGCATTTGATGAGTGGAACTGCAGTCAACTAAATAAGTTTACTAATCTTAAGGTGTCACGGCACTCTTTAGGCGATATATGAGATCTTAACAAGTTTTGTTTTGTTGTTCTTAATGTGCCTTCAAGCTATTTCTGACTTATAGTGACCCTAAGGCAAAACACTCATGGAGTTTACATGGAAAGATATTTCCAGAGGGGTTTGCCCCTGCCGTCCTCTAAGGCTGAGAGTGTGTGACTTGCCTAGGTCACCAATAAGGTTTTATGGCAGAGTCCAACACAACTACACCACACTTGGCTCCTGAGTTCTTCATTACTTTTGTGTATACTCAAGCTTGGAACTTGTCTCACATAAGGTGATAACAATCTTATTTACTCAAAAGATACTGGTATTTCCTGAATTAAATATGTAAAGCATAAAGAAAATTCATGTTCCTAATTATTTGTATGCATATGTTTGCTTCATATGCAACACCAATATTTGTAGGGCACAGTTGTCACATGAAATGTGGAATTAATATATGCTGAAACCTTTTGTTAATCAGGAAGTTATTATAATCCTATCCCAAGATCCCCCCTCCCCCAAAAATCTTGGGAAATTATACAAATACATTTGATAAATATGTTTACCTTCTTGGTACATGCATAAATTTTATTCCTGACATGCTTAATGTTACATTGCACAAGATACCATTATTCCAGTAGATGGTGCTACATGTCTGTATATTTCAATTGATTTATTTTTTAAAAAATGCACCCAAATCTATATTTTATGCTTGTTTCCAGAGAAGCTTCTACATATTAAAAAAACTGTACAATCCAAAATCCTTTAATGGCATACTATCCCTATTGGTTCAAAAGGAAAACAAAAGGAAAAGAAAAATTAGACATGAAGCATAATAAATAACAGTTTAGTTATTATGGCTAGTAGAAGATAAACTTTAGGATTTGTTGCCTTTTTTCTGCTAAGCTTTCATCTTAATGAACATGCGGATGGGAATCAGTGACCTTTTAGATCAGGCATGGGCAAACTTCGGCCCTCCAGGTGTTGTGAGAGTTGCATTCAAAAACACCTGGAGGGCTGAAGTTTACCCATGTGTGTTCTAGATGTTAATGATCTCGTGCAATTCTGAAAGTTTGCTTCTCCTGGTCCAACATCTGCCTGTCATGGCCTGTATCTGTTTATCTTGGCCAACATCTGCTTCCAATGACCCAACATCTATGACTTCTGGTCCAACATCTGCTTCACGTGGACCAACAGTTGTCTATCCTGACCAAATACCTGTTTATCCTCACCAACATCTGCTTCCAGTGGCCCAGCACCTGCAACTTATGGTCCAACATCTGCTTCATGTGGACCAACACCTGTCTATCCTGACCAAATACCTGTTTATCTTGCCAACATCTGTTTCCAATGGCCCAAAATCGACAACTTCTTGTCTAACATCTATGACTTCTGGTCCAAGATCTGCTTCATGTGGACCAACATCTGTCTATCTTGACCAAATACCAATTTATCCTAGACAACATCTGCTTCCAATGGCCCAACACCTGCAACTTATGGTCCAACATCTGCTTCATGTGGACCAACATCTGTCTATCCTGACCAAATACCTGTGTATCCTGGCCTACATCTGCTTCCAATGGCCCAACACCTGCAACTTATGGTCCAATATCTGCTTCATGTGGACCAACATCTGTCTATCTTGACCAAATACCTATTTATCCTAGACAACATCTGCTTCAATGGCCTAACACCTGCAACTTCTGGTCCTACATCTTTGACTTCTGGTCCAACATCTGCTTCATGTGGACCAACAGTTGTCTATCCTGACCAAATACCTGTTTATCCTGGCCAACATCTGCTTCCCAGGTCCCAACACATGGAATTTCTCCTGATCCAACATCTGCTCCTCTTGCCCCAACATTTGTATCTACTAGGTGTGACTGGGAGACCACCAAGAATCTAGTGGGAATCAGCTGGAAGGAAGGAAGCTGACAAGGAATTTCAGGAATTCCTCACCATTACTCCCAGTCCAGAGTTCTGTTGTGCATGTCATCCATTTTGCAGTTAACATTGTTGTGGTTGTTATTACTACTATACCACTTTCTTTCTCTACAAAGGAGATTCAAAGTGGC